AGTCTGGACACAAACGGCCTCTTCAGGTGGATGTTGATGAAGCCTGATGACATAAGAGACATCAGAGGGGGCGATGAGACTGAATCACCGCTTATACTGGTGCGAGAATATAGAAAAATACTAGAGAAGCTTCAGTGAGGAGTCTGTCTGACATCTGACATTAACACATCTGCTGACTGAAGAGCTTCAATCAACTGTATTTCCACTAATGCCTGCAATCTATTAGTTTAGGTGCTTATTATACCTGGAAGATTTCAATTACAACTAATTCTTTAAAAAAATGTCATGATTATTCTGATATTTTAGTGGGTTTTTTTGTTAAATAAGAGGGAAAAAAACCTTGTTTAAGAATGTTACTGTTATTTAATTAGAAATTAATAAAGTTATTTTATCTTAGCAGCTTTTACTAAGACAATCCAAATACATTTGCTACGAGTTGTTGGTAACTCTTTTCATCTTGTTCATTCACAAAACTTTCTCAAAAGCTGCACTGAAATTTGACCGACTATTAAAAGTCCTACAATTTTAAATACAATCAATTCGCTCCATGGGAAATAAACAATTACTTCTTTAATGTTTTGATGATGAATGATTGTGAATGTAAACTCTATATTTTTATTTAATTTGGTTTTATTTTTTACGTTTTCTTTCATTTCTAGTGTGCCCTACATTTGCCAGATAGTGTAATGTTTGTATTGTAATAAAAAAAAATATGTATGTTATAATAAAGTGCAGCAAGCAGCGAGGAAAAGTCGGCTGGGAACTCTCTCCAACGCTGCGTCCAAAAACTTTCCGACATTAAAGGCAAGTCTTTATGATGAAACACAGTCATGTGTTTTTTTGCATCCGTACCCGGTCCTGCGATTTCAGTTTTCTGGATGAGTTCGTTGTCCGGAAGGTTCTGGATGATCTTCTCTGCGATTTCCCTCGGGTTGATCTTCATTCCCTTTGCCTTCAGCATCTGCAGCACCACAAAGTCAGAGAGAGTTTTACAATTATTAAGCTGAAATAAAAAAATAAAAAAAACCCTCTTCTCATGCCGAAAGAAACAAACAGCTAAACAATGTGTGTAGTAACTTTTTTTTTTTTTTTTTTTTGCAGTTTTGCAATTTTTAAATTTGATGCATTATATTTTTATAGATGGTGAAACCTGCGGTGATTGTGCTGGTTCAGCAGTCGGCCACCCACAGAACAATATTAAACACCGCACTGTTACAATAAAAGTACACAAACAAAAACATTCAATGTTGTTAAAAATTGGGATATTAGGTCCGAGTCCTTTCTGAGGACAGGTCTTTTTATTACTGCAAAGAAAAGGCTTATTAAAATGTCTTTTAAACCTTGAACCATGACAAGACCATTAAACAATTTCAGGACCTGCAGACTCACGGAAACTGTAATTTAACCCCATTTAAAGAGTAATCTTGTATAATCCACAGACAGACTTGGCAGTCTCACCTGGGCCATGGCCATGGCACTGTTGCACTGGTAGTCTCCAAATTTGGCCTGCTGGTTGGGCGCGACAGCCAGTGGAGGGTTGTCCAGCTCGGGGCAGGAGGCCCGGATGGCCTCGCCGAAAATCTCCTGGAGCCGATGGTTGATGTTCAGCATGGATTTACTGCAGTAAGTCCTTTCTTCCTGCAGGCCCTGAGCACATAAACATAGTGATGATACATGAGGACGAGGAAGAGGAAGTGCAACATAACATATTTAGCCGTATTTTTTATGAAGATGATGACTGCCGGAACAAACATACTGTACCGATGGACAGTAAAGTTTTATGTTTTATTGTATTTTATGATGTTTTGAAAAAAAATCTATATCATATTACTTCTGGCAGTAATCATAAATGAAGGAAAATGCATTTGTTTTTCCTCTGGTGGTGGAGTAATTAGCTGTTATGTTGCACACGAGTAATTGTTACTCTGTAGAGACTGGAAAATGTGTATTGACACATAATGTATTGACTAAGTTATCTGTTTTGCCACTGCCAACGCTCCCTCGGATGCAGTGACGCAAAACTGATCGTTTCTTTAAATAAAAAAGTGTCATGGGGCAAAATGCTCCAAAGCGTGTGCTGTGAGGAAATATGACCCCGAATACAGTGTTTGGGTTTGTAACGGCGGGTAGTGGCGCTGAGCCGAAAGCACGGTGTGTGAATGTGAGACGCTAAAACCTTCGAAGCAACAGAGACACAAACATGAAGCACCTGGGATTTGGTTGGGAAGCCAAAAGAACTTTTCTTAAGGAAAAGGGATGAGCTTTCCAACCAACTCAGTCCAAAGCCACTTTTAAAGCGAGCTATATGGTATTTATTTGACACTGACATGTTTACAGCCATGTTTATTTTTTCTCCTTAGGGTTTTTTTCTCATTTATTTGGGAAGGTGATCCTCAGAATTGTATTTATTTATTTATTTATTTATTTACTCAATCTGCAGTCAGCAGCAGCTGGAGCACAGCAGGAAGCAGAGTTGTACCCATCTATAGAGCGGAGAGCGCCCCCTGCTGCGTCACTCACCCTCTTTAGGATGTTGAGGCGGTACTTCAGCCTGGAGTTTTCCTCCCGCAGCTCATCCAGACGTGCTGATGAGTTCAGGTTCTGTGGGTTTTTTAGGCTCTCAATCTCTGCAGAGAGACTCTGGATCTCCTGCTCCTGAAAAAAAAAAAGAGATATATATTCAGTCATAGTTGTCTGACTGCTAATAGATCGTTCAGCATACTTTTAATGGTGTGAATTTGTCAAACAAATTTAGACATCCCCTAAATCCACTGAATTATTAAGTGTAGCTCTAAAACTTAGAGCATATACTGTGTGACTAAATCCATGAACATAAACTTTTTATTATCTTGATTTTCTCTGAGGGAGGGACCCACAGTGATGTATGTCAATAAACAATACTGCACAATTTTTTTCTTATCAGAAACACAAAGCAAATCACTGCTTTTACAGCAGACTTTAAATCAATCTGAAAAAAACTTTGAGATTTTCAACAGTAAATGTGAATCATAAACATTCAGCCTACAATATTGGGTAACAGCAGTAAAAGTTTAAATGTATTAAGCAATCACTGTGTTCCTGTCAGGAGGAACTCTGATAATAAATTAGGCCATGTTGAGTTTCACATTAACACTAAAGTTCAGTAAGTCAGAATGAAACCAAAAGCTGCTTCACTGTCGGCACATGATGCAACAAAAGTTCAGATTGCAAACTGAGTACAAAGTGTGCTGGAAACTTCATGTGAATTTAATACATATTTTATTATATGTCGATGATTCATTATTGATTGTTTAATTGTAAAACAAACAAAAGAAATGACATACATTTCCTCCTGGTTCCAGATTCTTAAATGTGAGGATTTGCTGCTTCCTTTCATACAGGATAATTATATCTTTAGGGTTTTAGACTGTTACTGTTACTTACTGAAAATCACTAATCAGTAAGGTATGAACAGTGTGATATGTGACTTAACAGTTAAAGCTAGTGCAAAGGGTTATTATCTTTATTATCTATAGAGGTGAATTTACTAGCACAATATTTAATTGAATTATCTGCTCATTTAATATGTTCTAGATTGTCAATAGGGTCGCACATCCATTAGACATCCTGGTAAAGTAACAAAAAACACTCCTGACAGCAACATCCTGCTACTCGTGGATGTGCCATCACTTCACAGTGGGTTGGTTAAAAGACCTGACGAATGACAGGAAAACTAGTTACATTTTTACTAAAATAAGTGGGGTTTGGTTTAAGGCTTCACAGCCGAATTAAAGATTGGGGACAACCTTCTCAGCAGACCATCTTTTATTTGTTCGGTCTTGCCGTTTTTTTGTACTGACAAGACGAACAACTTTAAATTTAAGGTTTTTTAAATTGAGTTTGGCGCTGCGTCTGCCTCTGTGGACCGGGTACGTTGTCCACAAACGGAGCTCTTACCTGCTGTTGCAGTCGGGCTGTGTACTCGGTTACAGAGTCTCCCATCTTTCCGAAACACTGCAGAGAGACTCTTATGCCGGCTGGATGTGGAATCTCGTGGCTGATGAAACAAACTGCGAGGAGAGGAAGAAGTTCACAACTTTTTTTATTGTACTTCCGGTACTGGATACGTCGTCATGTTCTTGTTCTTGTTCTTCGTCGTTTTTACTGCCCATCGTAGGAGGTGGACACCGCCACCCCCTGGATGTATGTGGAAACTACATACAGAAATGTACTCCAGTACAGTACTCAAATACAAATGTAAGGCAGATATTTCATTATCAAGAGGCGGATCTAGAGGAGGATAGGGAATAGAAACTAAAACTAGGTGTGAAAAAACATTTTAGTTAACTGGAATGAAAGTAAAAGCTAGACTTGATAGTGTGTGCTTACAAAACAAACTAAAATAAAATAAAAATACACAAGAAATTATTTATTTTTTGTCTGTGTCAGTTTGGTAAAACTTCAAAAAGTTAAGTTTGAATTGTAATACATATTGTGAACTTGTGAAGCTTAAACCTTGCTCCTGACAAATACCACCCATATTATAATTAAAAAATAATAATACTGAAACTAATAAACTCTAGAAACTAACTGAAACTAACCTGAATTGAAAATAAAAATAAGAATAAATGAAAAATACTAAACCATAATAACTATTTTATGTGACTATTGAAATATATGTTATATAATAAATAAAAGGTATAATAAAAGGCTGAAATAAAATGTTAAATGACTCTTCCCTGCTCTCCCCAAAAAGTCAGACTTCCCTACTAGAACATTCATACTGTCACTAATAAAATGAATTCTGTAACTGGATTCATCCAGGCAAACCTCAATCATGTCATCCATTAAAAATCTTGACTGCAACTATTTATTTAAAATGTTTTTTTCATTGTCAAGAAGTCCCAGTTATCCTGAAAACAAAAACGTGCAGCACATCCATACACAAAGGGAATAAGAGATAAATATAAATAGTACAAAATGTAATTTTATAAGAAACAAAAACCCACAAAACATCAAAATAGAAGAGAAGAACTTTTTTTTATTTGTTGTGAAACTACAAAACATATTGTTTGTTTGGTTTTTTTTGTGCTGGTGAAATATTTACAACTCTGGTCGACAGTACAGTGTCTGAGAATAAAATTCACAGCTTTTCGGGACTCTCGCGATAAAAAGAAAAACAGGAAAAGCACACCCAAATCACAAAGTGCAATAAATACATGCTGTATGTTTCTCATAGCCGCCTCCATACACAATACCAGGTTCATCACCAGTCGTAACACAGATTCATTAGAAAAAGAAAAAAAAAACAATAATCAAATGAGGAAAAAATGCACTTAAACTTCAGAAAACAAACAAGAAAACAAATAAGAATTATCACAACCTACAGGATGAAAAAAATAATTTTTTGTGACTAACAGCATTTGTCTTTTTTTCTCTGAATGATCGTGATTTCTCGTAACAAAAACCTACATTCCTTCATCCAGATGTTGTTATATATAAATGAGTCTTTTCTGATTTAGGAGGTTAAACAATATTCGGTCGATCATGACAAAGTTCAACGGACTTTAAAAGAGACAGAACTGATCCTCAAGACTACACAGAGTCCTATTCTTCAGAACTACTCGCTCTACAGTGGAGGAAAACAAAAAAAAAAAAGGTTTACATTAGGAAAATGAATGCAAACGTTTCTCTACATTTCTTTCAGATCAGACGATGGCGGCTGGGTTTGGACATTTAAGACAAAAAAAAAAAAAAGTTTACGTGTTGCTCTCCGAAAGGCACACTCTCACATAACTCCAAAGGCTTTCATTAATTTCACAGTGTTCCTGCTACAGTAAAACCCTCAACCCTCAGAGTGCACAGCTGCATTCACACTGCGGGAGGACGCAGAAACCAGATCTGACTGCTTCTGTCGCGGGACTCCAAGATATGTTGTAACTTTCGTATATGGTTCCTCAATCTGAGACGTTCCTTATTTACGGCCGCGTGACCTCCGCCTGAACAGACCAGTTAGAACTCCTGTAAGACGCTCCAGTTTGGCATGACGGTGGAGCCGTTCAGTGTAGAGAAAGTGAGGCGTTAAGGTGTCGACGCTGCGAGGAAAAAAGATGCGCCTGTGCAAGCTGAGGCAATATGTGCTCATCCCTTCGCCTCATGACTCCATGAACAGGAGAGACTGGAGGAAACTAACAAAGAACCGAAGCGAGTTCTAGGGCCACTCAAGAGTCTGAGCTGTTGACAACGCTAAATGTAGCATTCTGAACAGCTAAAAAATCCTTTCATGTTACATTTAATCGCACCTTCAGGATGCATAATTATCTAAAATGTTGCTAGGAAGGAAGAAACTGATCTCCAACGGACCCGTGTGTTTGACCTCTTCAGCTCCGCCAGGACACCGACATCCTCCGCCAACATTACTCTCTTTCAGAGGCTGTAGCGGGGCTCAGTTTTAAAGCTAGAGTGAAGACACTGGTATCGTATAGAACCAAATGACCTAAGGCATCCATTGGTACCAGAAGGTAAAGGTGGTGTTGGTGCTGGACTATATTATACTGAGGTGTCCATATCACATTTACAGTAAGTAAATGTTTGTAATAAGTGTAGATTAACAAGAATATAAGGCAGGTGTCTTAAGCAGTGGTGGAATGCAGCTAGATTACCTCAAGTACGGTATTTAACTATAACTCTGAGGTACTTGTACTTAACGGTATTGTGATATCCTACTTTGCACTTGAACTCCACCTCATCTTAGAGGAGATATTGTACTTTCTACTCCACTGTGTTCATCTGAAATCATAGCAGATTTAGGTTTTATATACTGTCTTAAGTCCCCAATGTACTCCAAAACGGAATCTGTTGATAGTACTATGGGTGTCCACACGGACTAAAAACAAACTTTAGAGAACTCGAAAACACGTGGCTACGCGGGCTGGTGAAGTATTATCTGGAGCATTTTAGTTTGTGAACTTCAGGTGTTTAATCTTTGGTATTGATTGTTTGTACAGCTGCTGTTCAGGAGTGTGACTGTTCAGACGGATATCAGGTATCGGCCAGAATCAAACATTCAGTTCCAGCAGTGTGAACGCAGCCTCAGTGCGAACGTACTCCCAGCATTTGATTCCGTTCCCATCCAGTTTTACCTTTCGTTTAGTCTTTTTTTTAGACGAGGGATGAAGAGCTGTAGTGTTTTAAGTATTTGTGGGATATTTATTATTCTTATAGACACTTGTGCAAAATATTCCTACGTCTAACCTGAATGTGTTGTGACTATCTTTCTTTAACTGTGGAATTGAAACATTTACAGTATTTAATTATCAGAAAACAAGGCTGATTTTAATTTTTGGGACTCTTTAGGAGACTTCTGCAGGGTGACATTAAAAAAAGGAGCAAGAAGTGGAAACTTTTAACAGGGAAAATAGGTCAAAGTAAACTTCCTCTGTTGGTCTTACACATACAGACACCAAAGGCAACACATGAACTACAAAAAAAAGGTTGTAGGTCGACTCTCCATCGGATCTAGAGTTCAAGCATTCTTGTGAGCCGCTGTTCATCTACAAACAGTGAAACAGAGAAACATCTGGAATGGCAACAGCGGTTAGCTTTGTGTCAGCTACATCGTTGTTTGCACCGGGAATGGAAACGCGATTATATGAAAGGTTTGTGCCGCGTGATGGACACCAACGCACCCAATATACATGTTTAGCATGGTGACCCAGCAAGAAGAGAACCGAGACGAAACAGAGATGAGTCGATTAAATCACAACAGCATGTCACAAGTGAGGGACCTCCATTTGACTTTTAATTTCACGTTTTTCTGCACTTTGAATAACCCCCTGGAGGAAAGATTTTGAAACTTTTATACAAGTAAAAATCCTGTTCTTTTCATGTTCTGATCTGCTACTCTGCCATATAGCCATTGCTTATTCTGTAAGTTTCCAGTTTTCTCTGATCTTTCCTCTACTTTATTTTACTTCATTGTGTTTCCTTGTTGAATCTCAGACTGTTGGACCTGTTTTCAATCTGTAATGTTCAAAATATTGAATTATTTTGTGTCCAGTAGGTGTAATTTAGTATGTTTCATTCTCCCAACCTGCGTGCTTCTACTTCAGTCATTTTCTATATTTCCCAGAATGCCTTCTAACAAGTTGTTGCCGTCAGCTATAAATTTCAGAAGCAAAGTTTTCTTTATATTCTTTTTTTGTGTTTAGTTCAGTAGGTGATTTGTTATCCTGCCATCTCCCCTTTCTTTTCCCTAGTAGCAGAGAGAGAGTGCAGGGGCAGAGTTGTTTAGTTGTATATGATATTCTAGTCTACTTGACTCATTGATCCTTCATCTGACTGAGGTTTGAGTCTTTTGCCCAGACCATGGCTGTTTTTCTCTCAGTCCTGCCCTTCTATTTCTATGATCATACTGTAGCATCTGTGCTGCTGAAAATGCACCCCCAGACCAAGCCACCTCTGGAACAAAACATTTAAGGGAGAAATAACTATCGATATCCTGTGCTTTTTATTATAGTGCTAGTAGGGTTGTCTTCCTTGTTTAAAACCTAATGGTTTAGTTTTACCTAATTCTTTGTCTGTAAGATTTTTCAGTATTTTATTTTGATGATTGCAGCCAGAAAACGGTGCTGCCTTAAATCGAGATCTCTCTTGCAGAGATGCAATATACTGCTCACCATTATTAGTCAGTTATTTATTACATTTGTTGCTCATTTGTTTGTTTTCCTAAACGTTTTGTGAACTGCTCACAAAGGCCCCTCTGCGGATAAATGCTTCTTTGTGCCGTAGTCACGACACTTTATATAATAAGAACACAATGAGGTAGAAGCACAGTAATGAGAAAGCTTTTCCAGCACATATTGAAAACTAAACCTCTCTTTTCGTTGCAATGCATTCTGGTGTTTATCCTTCTGCTGCTTAAAATATCTCAACATATCAGGTCTTTCAGGTCTTCTACGTGAGTCCAGTTATCAGGATCATTTTGAATCTACAGTGAAGAATTTCAGAGAGATGTTGTGCATTAACGCAGGTGAAATGTACCAAGGACAACCTCTCCAACAGCTACTCAACATCCAGGTACAAACATAAAAAGGCAGTAAACAACAGACGTGCCGGAGTCGAGGTCTGCTGCTGATTTAAAGTCCAGTTGCCTTGGAAGCAGAGTCAGACCTCAGTAAGTCTCCACTGAGTTGAATATAAATCACATCCCAGGAGCACGTACAGTTATCCGACTTCTGACTACAGACAAAGAACCATTTCCATGCTTTCTAAATTAAAACACTTGCTCTTATTTCCCAGCCAGGTTACAAAAGCTGATGTTGGATCTATAAACTGATTACCTCGCTAATGGTTGCTAATTTCAGAACATTTCTTTCTCACCTTTCTGCACCCACTGGACACGAACACTATGGAGAACTTCCAAGGACTGGCAGTACTAGGAAAAGTTATACGTACATGTAATATATGTATTGATAGATTAGAATCTTGTCTGTTTGGTCATCGCGCTGATTTTAAAACAGAACATATATTACAACGCGCAGCAGAGTAACCTTAGAATAATTCTCAAACTTCACCACCTGAGCCAAACAAAACCTGACAACTAATTATTCCATCTCAGTGAGAATATTCCTTTCTGCCAGTGGTTGCAAGACAGTATAGAACTTGTAATTAATTGTGGGATGGAACAAAAAGTAACATTATAATCTAATCACTTTATGGAGACCTGAAGTCATGTGCGTGTCCACCTGATGAATACAAGTCCAATATTCACCCTCTTTTAGCTCTGTTTTTGGTCTCTACCAACTCCTGAGGGAAATATCTGACTCTTTTGCTGCTAAATTCTCACCTGTCTTCACCAGGTAGCCTCTAACTGAGTCTGTCTGCTGTTTGGTAGTGAGCAGGTATTACACATGGGGTCTTTAGCGCTTACCTGCTACATTGGTGGCCTAAAATGACACTACCAGTTGCGGACTGTAAGCGTTGAGAAGGACTGATAATTACCTGTAGGTTCAGACCCCTTTCACATTAAGATAAACATCAAGATAAGCAGCTTTGAAGACTCGATTGATTTGTTCATTTTTGCTGGGGCACCATGCTAACGTCCAGTTGCAAGAGACATGAGAAAGACTCAGATACAGTATGTATCCAAAATATCCAGTTAGAGAGTGAAAACAGAGGGAAGTCTAAAAAATAAACTGACCAAACGTAGTGTTCATATGTCATCAGGGTAGAAAACATTTTAACCAGTCAATCAAGTGAAGATCAGGGGAGCGGTCAGGCGGCGGGGGGGTTAGTCACTTCCTTTTAGTCATACAATCAGTAAGTTCACAGTCATCAAAAATACATTTGATCTTCACTTCCTGTGTGTGTTTCGACAATCTTCATGTACCTCAACAATCAACAATCATTCCAGCGCGAGGCAAAGGTTTTTGGATTGTTTTTGTTTTTACTTTCCAAAAACCCACATCAAGTTTCTTTTTTTAATTTTTTTTTTTTACCTCGTTTCTTAAAGTGCAGACTATCCGATCAACTACCTGAGTGTTAGTGAGAGTTAGCGCTGTTTCTACACTTTTCCAAGTGTCTGTGTGTGTGTGTGTGTGTGTGTGTGTGTGTGTGTGTGTACTGGTGACAGACGAGTTTAGACTTCACACCTAAAACAAGAAGAATCTCACCTCCCACTCAATGATTAAAAACTGCTCTTCTATAATGAGATCCAGTTCATTTAATAATGTCTGTAAAGACACGCTCCAGTTTTCCTCTTCTGTTCTGGTATCGTGTGTCGTGTAGTGAGAGATGCCAGAACTGAAACAGAAGCCATGCTGATGATGCTTATGTACAACCATCTGTGCTGTCAACATTGTACACATCAGACAAGCTCCAGGTGTGCTTAAGTTTGTCTGCGTATAAACTTTTCAAAATGCTCTCACAAACACATGACTTGCAGGTTTTATCACCTGCTTAAGTTGCTTATTTTGCTTTAGTACCTTTGTTTTCTGTGTTGTTTTGTGCTGTCGACATACATATATATTTTTTGCCCAAATGTGTTATTTTAGTACAAAACCCTTTGTATGCACATGTGCAGCTGTGTGACTTTGTGCTGGAATGATTTTAAACACCTAAAGCCTATAAACAGCCTGTTAGTAACAGAAAACACAACGCCATAAACAGAGTTAAAGAGAGGGTGAAATAATAATAAAAAAGCTCTAGCAGTGCTATCACTAATTTACAAACAAAGACTATCCACATTAGAAATGCTGAGCTCTTTAAAAATGTGTTTCTTCACGGTTTTTCAGTGTTTTTTTTCTACTAAACATATTATTAGTATTATTATTATTTAAAATTCTTCATAACACCGCCAAACATTTGCTTCATTTGTGTTGGGAACAGCAGACTAAGACTCAGGAAGGGAAATACTTTGAAATGCTTCTCTACACATCGTCAGCCGGCAGGTCGGGGATGCTGGTCTTTGCTCGTGTGAAGAAGGCCATCTTCTCTCTGAAATTAACACAGCAAACAGAGCGGTGACATTAAGACAATGAGATATTGCAAGGCCAAAACCAATGTGTGAATTTTAGTTTCAAAGTGTTCTGAACAAAGTTGGGGTGTCAAACTTCAGGACTTTTTAGAGTCTTTACTTTGTTTAATTTTTGTCGTAGTTTTTCTTTATTATAATTATGCCATTTCTGTCAGGTTTATATCTAAATCAATGGTGTGAGAATATTTGTATTGTATTTTAAAGTCTCTAAAGACTTCTGATACTAATTGGTGATTTGGGCCTTTATAAATAGAACTGACTTGACTTTCTTCCTGGTCCTTCACACTGTTTCTGAGCTCCAAAATGGATTTATAACAGGAATGTTCTCCACTTACTATGGAAAATAAAGACATATGTAAGATCTGAAAATATGGGGAATCCATTTTTGTATTTTCTTGGGGTGGAATTCACAGGGTACATCTAGATATTATATATTATATATCTGCCCAGCATAAACAGGCAATTCTGTGATAATCTACATCAGGTCATGATATGGGTTAATGAGGACTAGAAAAAAGCCCCTAAAATTAGCAATTATTAGTAATCAGTGGAAAAGTAAGATAAAATGGAGCATAACAAAACACACTGAGCTTTTTCACAATATGTCCTCATGTGGTGTCAGTCAAAATCTTAAACAGCTGGAAAAAGGTTGAATTAGTAACTAATATATCATAATTTCTGTGATTATTATTTGTCTCACCCTACAGTACATTTCTGTAAAGAACATATTCTCACAGTATTCATCAAAGTCCTTTGTCTCTCTCTCTCCCTGTCTGAAGTGCTCGGCTGTTTGTTTTTTTTAGCCGTCTGCACTTTGTATGTATATTCAGTGCTTATACATTCAGTGTAAACTTATATGAAGTATATATGAAAATAATGTGTATAATTATGTGTTTTTAAAGAAAAATACTGTTCATTATATTTGACTGATTTTAATATGTGGTGTTTTGTATGTGCGTGTCTAATCTGTTGTCATGTTTCTTTTTTTAATGTTTTGTTTGGACCCCAGGAAGAGTAGCTGATGTTCTGCACTAGCTATTGGGCACCCTAATAAAATAGATTAATACTGTGTGTTCAATACAACTGAAAAAAGATTTCTTGCATTTCATCTTGTGTATTTTGCTGAAGCTCTTATCTACAAACACACAACAACTGACTCTCATATGTCAGATGAAACCTGGTCTGCTGTCTCTCTCACCTGAAGGTCTGGACCTCGGGGACCTCTTTGCGGCTCTGGCCCCTGATCTTGTGCACGTCCTTGGCTGCTGCCCTCATCATCTTCTCCACCCGCTTCTCCTGCAGTTGCTCCTCACGAGTCTGAATGAGACCAAGAGCACATAGGCATTCATATTGGTTGGAGGATCATTTACAAATGTAATTAAAAGTGCCCCCTAGAAGATTAAAACTTGTGATAAAAAACCCTTGGATGCCTTGTGTCTGATTAAATCTCACTCAATGGTCACTCACCTGTTTCTCGGCCTGCTTAAGGAGCAGCCGGAAGCGTTCGTCTTCTTGGACCCAGGCCGGCAGCTCTCTCTGGCCCTGCTGCCTCGCCTTCTCCAGCTGCATCTTCAGCTCCCGCAGTACCCGCAGCTCCTGCGACAGCCGGGCCTGCCGCGTCCGCGAAACCTGCAGGTCCAACTCCAAGTCCAGGGACGTTCGCAGAAGACCGTCCAGACCTTTAACTTGAATGGGAGGCTGAAGGGAGGACAGGGAGGGATACAGTTAGGTGCTTCAAACACAAACACACTACGGTGGCAACAAACATTTTCATTATCGGTTAAAGGCAGGCTCAGTCACTCTAGAGAAAAAAAATTCCCCACGTTCACTAGTCAAGGCTGCAACTGCAAAATAACTGAAAAAACTCCCTGATGCAGCCTGTGAGACAAAAAGATTGAACACATTTATGTAACAGAGACCTGGGCTGAAAACCCAAAAGTTGTTCATTTGCTCACTGTTAAAGCCAGGAACGTAGAAAAGGGCCTAAAAGTCACTCAAGTGAACAGTAATACCCTGAATTATTTGCTAATACTGTCACCAATATGTGATGCGCGTATGTGAATTTCCCGCTGCTGTCGAGCCCCAGGTGGGACACTGGGGCAGATATTGCTGCTTGCCTCTAAATTAATAGAAGCTGGCAAATGTCAGAGCTGCATTAAATATTCAAACGGTTATTAAATATTAAGAGTCACTTCACTGGGAGTGGTTGGGTGGCTTTAAGACTTAAAAAATGCAAATAGGCTCTCCGTGTCTCCCTGGAGAATGGAGACGATAGTTAATGTGTCGGTAAACCTGCTTTTGACTTCACTATTAAAGTGTCAAGAAGCAGGAAGATGACAGTAGATATACAGCAGATAATAGAGGGGAGACGTCAAATCACTGAAGCTGAAACAATCAAACTGCTGGAGTGAAGCATACTGAGATTTACTGCTACGGCTTGAATGTCATCTTTGACTCAAAAAAACAGCCACAAATTTGGTAATTTACATTTAAGTTTCAAAATCTAGCTTCTGTTTGTCATTACAATTAGCCAGTGACATTGACCAGTAGCAGCACAGAACGCTCTGCTGCGCACAACTGTTAAGAATGAGAGAGGAATGACATCGGTGCTGTCGAGTGGAACAGTAAAGTCGGTTCCTGGTACAAGGTTATCCCCTATCCAAGCACCTAAGTGTGTCTCATAAGTCTTTAAAGAAATTAAACTATGATTGGTTGTGGTGTCACGTCACGGCAAGAATTTATGACACTACGATCTGACACAGTGAACATCTCAAAAGACAAAAATATTAGGGCTGCAATGATTCCTCGAGTACCTCGAGTAACTCGATTACAAAGAATGATCGAGGAATTTCGTCTGCCTCGAAGCCTCATAAAGCTCACGTTTTGCATGGATTCTTTTTAGTGTGACACAACGTGCTTACGTCACAGGCTATGCGTCCACTACACACGGAAGAAGACGGAAGCGGGCTCTGTAACGTGTGTGGACAGTTTTTCTGTACAGAACGGCAGACGCCTGGACTGAAAACTGAAAACAGTGATCTGTCTTGTTTCGTGTATGTTTTTGTGTATATTTATAATCGGGCTTTAATTAAGCAAAAGTATGTTTTATCCGATTACTCGATGAATCGATGGAATATTCAATAGAATACTCGATTACCAAAATATTCGATAGCTGCAGCCCTAAAAAATATATTGTCTTTCCAGAGAGATGGATCAGGAGAGAAGTTTCTACCTTCTTCATGCGCATGCTTCGTCTCTCTGAAGCGTTTCTGACAAACGGAGACTTCTTGGAGAGGGTGGAGCTGTCGCTGTCACTGCGGTTTATCTGGAAAGAGAGTGAAATATGAATTCCCATCCTCACTGTATATTTGTCAAATCTTTAGGAGAACAGAAAAGGTCTGTTTTTCTCTCCATCTGAAGTGTTTTTTTATGCTGCTGACATCAGCTTTCAGTGAGTGTCAGTTACCCTGCAGATGTACTGGCTCTGAGGTCCAGGGGAGAAGGTCTTGGAGCGGATGATGGTGTTTCCCCTCATGAAGGGGTTCTGCTGGTGTACGTCGTGGCGGCGCTCCTTGGGTCGAACCACAGAGCAGTGGTGGGACGGCAACAAGCTGTCCATGCTTGTCTCCTTGTTGACCTGGACAAAGAAAAGACGATGATGATAAATTGGATGGAAAATTATATCAATTTCAACCCTTTAAGAAATCGGAAGGTTCTATCAACCAATGAGAAGACGGAACAAAACATCAAATACCAAGAGTGGCTTTAAGATTTGTAAAACTAAAATTAGACTCAAATTAGCCTCAATTTCAGCAACAAAGAATGTTTTTAGATATTTTTGACTTCTCCAGCACTTCTGTCCACTGAGGACAAAAGCTGCAAGAGGATGAGTTGAGATGACAAAAGACAAAAAAAAAAGTACTATGATGACAATGGGAAGAACAACTCCATTGTAGTCCATTTCCTGCTCCAGTGGCTGTTGAAATGTGTTCCTTTGTCTCTTTTATGATGGGTTCTTCTCTGTATGATTGTTAAAGGTCAGTGAAAATTGCTTTTTGATTCTACAGGACTGACATCCAAACTTGAAATTCGCCACTACAATTTTTTTATTTTCTTTCCATTTTCACTCCAATGTAGCGGCACCAAAATGCGTTCCTAGTAATCCGAGGAAATAATGAGTTTGCCACAATCCAATACTACAAGTACACCATAAACTTTATTCTTTCCTCAAGCAACTAAAGTTACCTTTTCTGTGATGGCTGCTGTTGCTGTTGGAGGAGGAGGAGGGGGAGGAGGAGGAGGAGGAGGAGGAGGAGGAGGAGGAGGGGGGAGGGGATTTTGTCGACTTGTCGTCTTCCTCCTCCTCCTCTGCTTCCCATTGGCTGCTTTCAGGATAAAACTCATCCTCTTCCTCCAGAGGTTCCACTCCCTCTGCGCCATTTCCTTCTTCATCATCAAACATGTCTTCCTCCAAAGCGTCGCCATGCCTGACGATCAACAACAGAGAAGAGGACAGGATAAACTTAGCTTCCATCTCTATTACTTCTCATATACCTTTTCAGTACCAATTAAAACATGTTTTATGTACATGGCTGTGAAGCAACTAAAGTTGGCACTGAGTGCTTGCTCAGATTTATACTCTTCTTTACTTATTCTTCAATCACATACTTTCTGATTTCGAAAAAATTGCCAATTTTAGACTATTTTATTTAGCTAAAATTCTTGTTCTTCTAGCACAGCTTGGAGAGCCTCTTTTGTCAAAGAAAATAAAAGTTTTATTTGGTTTACTATAAGTGGTCTGAGAGAGTAAAGAGGTGACATTGAAGCTAAATTATTGTTAACTTGGTAAGAAGAAGATTTATTTAGCTAAATAAGATGAAAGCTAAAAATGTACGTAGGTTTTCCTTCTGTAAAATTGAAGCAAAATTCAAGTTAGTATTTCAGTGAATGAAGAATGATTGACTAGTTGGTCTAGTTCCTTCTGTTCTGTTGTACACGGGGGGGGAGGGACACCTGTCTTCTTTCCAAAGTGTATGTGTGTGTAAAGGGCACCATAGCCTCAGAACACCTGGTGACTGTCATTAAGATAGAGGGAGGAGGAACGGTGGAGGTGTCAACAGTCGGGGGGAGATGTATCCAAAATGTAAGCAGCTTTATTTACAGTCTGAACCTGTCAGGTAACATTCTGTGTTTGTTTGTCTCCTCATGAACAGTAACTGACTGTTTTAGTGAAGTGCTACAGATCATCTTTCAGTGTGAAAATAATATAATAAAAATAAAAAAATTGCTCAAGTGGGACTGGATAAAAAACGGAAAATAAAGGAGGACAATGGAGGGTCAAAAACAGGAGTGAAGGGGGGAATACATTTAAAAAAAATATATGACAGAAAGGAGAAACACTCACCACTCATCGTCCTCAGGAGCTCCAACTCTGGAAACACTGGAAATCGCCGGAGTCTGAAGCACAGAACACACACATCAGGAACAAACAGAGATTTATATTGGTGTGTTTACCAACAATCAAACAAGAAAACTTTTACTTTAGTGTCACACAGTGACAAACAGCCACAAACGAAGTGAATTGAGAATTGTTTAAAATGACAAAAAGAGCATTATTTTTCTCAAATTCAAACTGAGTAGGAGGGAATCCTCTGCTGACCAATAATTCCTTCCTTCATACTGACATGACAGTATTAAGTATGGGGGCAGTAACCTTTTGACACATGTTTTGTTTAATGCAAAGTATTTTTATGCCCAATTAAAACCACTTAAACAGGCACAACCACTCATGTCAGCACAGAGGGAAATACTACTTTTAATGTTACTCTGGTTTAATAAATGAGGAAACTGGCCTCACTAATAATAAGCAGCAGCAGGGTTGCTGTATACTTTTTAACTAAATCACTGAGCTGTAATGAATGTTAATATCCACTTCTGGATGTCACTCTGAAAGTCAGACTATCGGCTCATATGCGAACCGACAGTACACTGGGTGACAATGTGTCTGTACCCTGTCAGAAGCGCCGGCTGCTCGGCTCTCTTTGTCCTTGTTGTTCATCTCGGGCATGTAGACGCGGCTCAGCAGGTTGTACCACTTGGTGCATCTCTCCTCCGAACAGCTGACATCAGCCAGGCTGATCTGGGCTCCCGCCTGGAGAGGGGGGAGAGGAGGAGAGAGGTAAGATGGAGGGACACCGCAGCTCATAGTGTCTGTTCAGAAAGCTCTTTGAGTGTTGAGTGCAATAAAACCATCAGATTAGTCCAAACTGCCACGAAAAACAAAAAGCAGCAAGAGAGTTTCCACTGTCCTTTTACATGTAAAATCATTTTTATATTGTACTGATTTTAATGTAAGGTTACCTTCAAACTACAAACACACAATTAAATGTTGATTGTAAAAGGATGAAAACAGGAAAAAGTGGAGAAAAACTATATCAAACTGTAGCTCGAGCTCTACATGTTCCCTGCACCGCAGATGTAAAACCACACAGGAGACTTCTACTAACCAGACACTCTTCGTGGCCCGACTTTCTGGTGTTGCAGATGTCGACCCTCAGTGTCTTCTGCCGCAGTGCACTGTGGGATATCTGCATGCTGAACACCTCATTGACCTCCACGATGTCCTGAGGCAGAGAGCCGCGGGTTCGGAAGAGGCAGCGGGTGGCCTCCACGCAGGGCAGCACCGCCGAACGCACATACCTGCAGCACACACAGGTGAGAGTGTTAGCATGATGCTGTGTGGACACATGAAGCATCAAATTTGAATTTAAGGTTGAGACGTCAATTACTTCTTTGCCAGAAAATACTGAATAGATGCTGTGATGACTTGTTGATTGTTATTGATGATGATGAAGTTTGCAAAAGCACCACTTCTTGTTGACATGCGTTTTCTTTTTTCTTGGTTTTGTACATTTACATGCATTTACACCTAAATTACTAAAACAAGTGTAATCTTATAATCATAGGTACAAGGACGTACATTTTCTGGTCAGCTGGCAGACAGAGGGCGCTGCAGTTGGACAGCTGCATGACATAGATGGTGAAGCGCTGGTCTCTGGACTCGTAGCGGAAGCCGAGCTGCACCTGAGAGCAGCCCGGCGCCAACCGCTCATCATAGGAGCTGAGGAGGAGGTCTGCAGGGAGGCCCGGCCTGGAGGAAAAACAAAAAAACAGTCACACTTATTTCTGAGTAAAATAACATCTAAACTGAGATTTCAAATGTTTATTCTCTAAAGCTGTGTAACAGCAATGTCATCATAAAAGGTATGATAGATACAAGCTATTTAGTTGGAAATACTGTTCATTATGAAAAATTATTAAGTGGTGGATCCTGATATCTCCAAATGATTAGAATTTTAACAAAAATTATAATATTGTCAAGTTCAGGGGGGAAAAATGTTTAAGTGCGGCGATCAAAGGAGATTTATATTGTTTGAAGACATGACATCTACTCACTGTTTTCTTGGAAAAACTACAACTTCACTACATTACTGCACATTTGCTGCTACATTGTCATAATTGTGACATACACAAGTAGTATTTTTAGAGAAATTAAATGTGCTAAAAGACTTTTAGGGGGAATAAAAAGGATAAATTAAAATATATGTAAAAAAGAAAGTATGCGGGCGCCCGGTTGGCTCAGTCAGTAGAGCTGGCGACCCATGTATGGAGTTGCTGCAGCGGCCCGGGTTCGAATCCGACCTGCGGCCCTTTGCTGCGTGTCAACCCCTCTCTCTCTGCCCACCTTTCCTGTCTGTCTACAGCTGTCACTATCCAATAAAGCCAATAAAAGGCCCAAAAAATAACTTAAAAATAAAAAAATAAAAAAGTATGCAGTCTATAGAAACAAAGTTTCCATGAAGACATTTGACAATGGCAAGACTACAGAGGTCAAAGGACAGAGAGTTCAATATTCTGGTTGTACATCATACAAAAAGTATGGTAGATAAAAATTATTGGTACCTGCGCTCTGAAGGCTCGTACACACCGCTATCGCCAGCCACTGATTCGTCCGACACTGCTGAGGTCACGCCCATCTTTTTTGGCCCCGCCCCTGTTCCACGCAGCTGTGGCGCCGAGTCTGAAGAGAAAAGGAAGAGGAGAGATGGTTACACTGACAAAGGATTTGTTTTGTTTGATTTGATCAGTCTGGTGATATTTTATATTTAGGGTATAGTCAACAAATCCTATGACATGAAGCGGGAGGAGCCGGTGATCGAACTGCCAACCTTTCTGATTATTAGACGACCCGCTCCACCCTCCTGAGCCACAGTAATAAATCTATCCAAGTTTATTTTGACCCAATCCCACATACACAGTCCTGCTGCCCCATGAACACCAAATGTGTATTAATCACCACTAAAAATAGCCCCCGCCAAAAATGCACAATTTCCTCCGGTTTCCTCGCTGCAAGTGAGTTGAAAACCTGGCCACAGAAAAGAAACCGTTCTCCGAGCAGTCTTAGATCAGGAAGTTAGATTAAAACTCCTTATTTACACCAACCTCAACCTGACTTGGCCTTCATCAGGACGGTGATTAAGACCATGAATTATTTTCCCCCTCCAGTAGAGTAGATGAAAGAGTCGAAAAAGATAAACCAAAATGCAAAACAGCGTCCACCTGAGTACTTTGGTATAGAGTCATAGAGACTTGTTGAATCACTGATACTGATCAAACCCTCTGTCAACACTTCACAGTTATGATATTTTTGTAAACAAGATGCTGTCTTTGTGTAAGTGTCTGACTGTAGTGGAGAAAATAATAATCAAGTTTCCAAGACACTGAACAACTGTTAATACCAAGTTTTGTTCCCACTCTGGAAAGTTATCACAGCTATCCGGAATGCACACTTGCACCCAAAGTGCTGGTTGTTGCCAACACGGTAGTACCACTGAATAAAATGAGGGGGCTGCCTTTATATGTTGACATTGTGCTAAGGTTGATCACTGCCCGTACAGAGCTAGAGCCTGGTAATACGTTCTGCCCTGGTAGCAGGTATAGAGAGTGAACAGGAAACCAGACACCACATTCACCTTTCACCAGAGGTTGCAACAAGAACCTGAGTCACGTTCAGCTGCAGTGGGTCCTGCTCAAACTTCAACTGACCATTACTACAGTTTAGCGGTAATTCATTCAAGGGCCAAAGACTCAACCTCTCCACAACTGTTCCACTTAACTGTTTAGTCCAGAGGTTTTCCAACACAGATATGAGAGAGGAAAGTTAGTTATAGCAGTTTGGCCGCTGATTTTGCTCATGGAGGAAACCAAGGTATTAAAGCTAACATTTCTTCTTCTCTGACTCGACTCAGTGTTTCTTTCTTACTTTTTAAGGGATATTATTATATTATATTAATATCCAATCTCATTAGTCCAAAGCTTATAAACATCCATAAATCCATTTAGAAAACATAAAAAGATGCTCCTTATAACTCAAGAACTTCAGAATCATAATTTTTAAGTTTTCTTCATTAACATAGTAATGTGTTATCCACAGTGCAGTCTGTAAATTCATCAGACACAAACTGCTAATAGCTAATTCCATGTACTTTTGATGTGTTGCTTTGTCCTAACCAAAAGTAAAAAAGCTCCAAGATAATCAGTTTACTATGATGTCAAAAAGAAAAAATCCTCACGCCTACGAAGCTGGAACCAGAAAATGTTTAGTTGTTAAATAATAATTATTATCAAAAGCAATTTTCTATGCATCTAATAATATCATTAATTTCAATTTCACATCAAATCAGTTCAATTAATCTCATTTTACCTCTGTTTACTTACTGTATATTGACCGTGATACAATAATTACCTCTGACTATTTAAACAGGTCAAACTATAACACAGGCAAGTAAACAAAAATAAACCCCCAGAATTACATTTCAAACATGAGTTCAAACAGCACACACACGCACGCACGCACGCACACGACCCGACGGCTGTAATCCAACACGCTCCTAACCTTCACCTCCTCACTCTTCATTGCACCCAGTAGAAATCAGGTTTCACACACAGTATTAAATTTCTCATCACACACATAGCGAGGAGGAGGATTCCTGATATCCCGCTTTCCAATAAAGTTGGAGTGTTCTCTATGACGTCTAGTGTAACAGAGATAAAGGCGTTACATCACCAGCCTCTCTGCCTGTCTCTCTCTGTCTCTCTCTCTTATTGCTGTTCATTTATTGGAGATAATTCATCACAATTATCATTCTAATGTTATTAACTGGGATTATCATTTGAGTCGTTATCCTGCAGGCCTCCTGAGTTATCATGCAAACTGTTTTGTTGCCATTGTGATGTAACATGATTGCTTGGAGGATAAGAGACTCTTGAGTCACTCACAGGTTTAATGACAAGTCAGATTATGTTGTATTGTTTTGTTCAGCCCTGAGCATCATGCATCTTCTGACTGTGAGATGCTGGATGCATGCTTGTTTGTGTTTTAGTATTCTGTTTTTTAAGGTTACTTATATATATTTTGTATCTGTTCCTGTAACTCACTTTGCTGCTGTGACACTTCCATTGCCCTGCATGGTATCTATACTGTAAACTGAAACACTCAATAAACTGAAATAATTGGTGTGGAAGAACTTGACCGGTCTGCACAGAGTCCTGGCCTCTTCCACCTTTGGGATGAACTGGATCATCGACTTTCAGCCAGACCTTCATCATCCAACAGCGTTGTTGGGCCTCACTAATGCTCATGCGGCTGAATGGAAGAAAATCCATGCAGCCAGGTACCAAAATCTAGTGGAAAGACTCAAACCAGAAGAGTGGAGGCTGTTATATCAGCAGATTAATGCCTGTGGTTTCTGACTGACGGGCTTTGGCATCCTTGCTGCCTTTGTGTAGCAATGACAGCGTTCCCTGTTTGACTCTTGACCTAAAAACTTTGCTCCAGGTTATCTCTCTCTGTCTCCGTCCACTTTTTTCTGCCTCTCTTGAAGGTTATTCTATTACAGGAACTGGCTTTTCTGTTGTGAAGATTATGAGTTTGAGCGTGACAACATTTTGGATGACGATAACACAGAATATATGATCAAAAGCTTCCCGTTTACCTTTAACCGACTCGCCCAACGTGGTGTTGTGATTCTGTTTCTCCTCCAGCCCCCTAGGACCTTCGTGCTCTTCCTGCCGCTGCTCCTGAGAGTCCAGGCTGAGTTCCAGTTCTGCTAACCTACTGTGGAGCTCCAGGTCCAAGCTCAACCCGCCAGGCCCCGTCTGGCCTGCGAATGTCTCTCCAGACAGGAAACTAGTGTCTGTGACCAGCGGCGAGCACGGCGGAGACAGTGAGGAAAGGGACGATCGTGGAGATAAAGAGCTCATGGAGCGAGGGGTTTCTGACAGTCTAAGCGCCTGGATCCTGGATGACCCTGACTCCACTGCGCCACCACCGCCACCACCTACACCCCCTCCAGCAGAACAACCCGTGTCTCCTCCCACCCTGCCTGCTTTGCCCTCAGGCCTCCCAGCGTCTTTCCCTCCACAACCCGTCACTACTTCGTGTTCATGTATCGTGGTGATGGAGCTGGAGGGGCGGTAACCTCCCTGGCCGCCCTCCTGCAGGAGGCTGTCCAGCTTGTTCTGGAAGTCCGGGTCAGCCAGCTCGGGCTGCTCCAGGTAGAGGTCGGTGAAGCTGAGGGAGGAGGTTGAGCCCAGGCTAGAGGTGGTGGCTAGCGAGCCACGGCTGGACGTTAGAGAGCCTCGACTGCTGCCGGACGAACAGGACAGAGTGCTGGCCGACAGGCTGAAGGAGAGAGGAAGACAAAAACATAGAGTCAACATGATCCAACATGACATATCAGAAATCTCTTGAATCATCAAGAGATTTCTCCCGTTCCTAAACAGTTGTTATCAAGTAATGTTAAAAGGTGTGATTCAAGTTGGGCAAACTGTGGCACATAAGGCTGAATCATTGGTGTTTCTAAAAAAGCGGATGTCGACCCCTACACTTCTTAATTATTGGTTACCTGTTAACTGTGGAAAATAAAAGAGCTTAAAAAATGGTTACAAAATCCCTAAACTGCACCCATTTAGAGTAAGTACAGTACCTCAGGGTCAGTTTTTAATTAAAGTATATGTGAAGATACAACACAGATAACTTCACATATACTTTAATTAAAAACTGACCCTGAGGTACTATACTTATAAGCTTCCTTTATGTCTCTATGGAGGTTTTCAAATGTAATTTATCACCTGTTTCTTCTGCTGTTATAAGCATTATAAGCATCTTACATGTTACTTTGGGTAAGAGCATCAGCTTAACATCAAATTGAAAAACAAATTCATTTGATAGCTTTTATAAATAGCAATTATATCAGCATTTTACTATTTTACAGTGAGTTAACTGAAAGAAACTGGACAAAAGAGACGAAAAAGAGAGAGGTTTGGGAGAAAACAGCTGAGTTAGAGAAGTAATTGTGACAATGTGAGTTTCAGACAAGAGGGAAGAAAAGGTAAGATCAAAAAGAAGAAAGCTACGTGTAGAGTTTGAAGCAACACCGCAGGCAGACTCCTGTCTCTGACTCTGTTCTTCTCTTTTTCCTACATTTTCCGTTCCTGTTATCTCATATTCTGCCCTTCTTTCCCTTTCTTGTCTCCTCTAGCCTACTCTGCCTCGCCACTCCTCTACTTTTCCTTTTTATTGTTCCTAAACATGTTTAAGAATAATGTGACTTAAGATTTTTTTGTCAGTGAGATGTTTTTTCCCCGAATCTCCCAGTCCAGCAGGCGAGTTGTTCATCACCATTTAAAAGCTTCAAACCAAATGAATAACTGGAAAAACAGATAAATATTGGAGCAGAGGGACTACTTAAAAAGGAGGAAAGTAGAGTCATTTTCTTTCTCCCCTCTGTATGTCCTCTACTCTCCTCTCCTCTCAGGCCTCCTGTCTCTACCTCCTCACACACTCCTGGCTCTGTATGAGCCGCTCTCTAATTAAGGCAAAGGGGCTCGTTAGCGCAGACAGAGTTCCTGTCCTCCAGGGACACTCAGACCAGGAGGACAGACAGGATGAATGAGCCATGAGATGAGAATAGAGAAACTCACCTGAGGAGGAGACAGAGACTGACTGACACTGTTCATTTCACTCTCAACTTTTCAGATCATCACTGTTGAACTGGGAAACCAGGACTGTTAAATATTAAACGATTCTGAAACGTGTGGTTCTTTCAGCGACCTTGCATCATCTCATAAAAATTCTTGAGGATTCTCTGGGTTGGGATGGAAAATTAGATTTGTTGCGAGATCATGACTGAAATCAAAATGACGAGGAGAACAAAATGGCTTTCATCTTAAGCAAATGTTTGGTCGTTTAAAGGCTAAATACTTCCACCACCCCACATTTCTCAACCTTCCCTTCACTTCAAAGCTCTGCTCTGTCACTGCCTGCTTTGAATATAATAACTAAATTATCATCTTTAATGTCCTTGTAAGAAATCTGTTGAACTAAATGATACATTAAATAAATGGCTGTGTAAAAAATAAATAGGAGAAACATGACTGCATTTAATTAAAGGTACATTAAACAGTTCTGACTGCTCGAGTTTCTTGACCCAACTGACTCATTCACATTAATGTCACAGTGTTCCCAGAGCTCAACAATTATCTTGGTGAGTGCAATGTTACTATTAAACTACAAAATAATACCTAAGTTGTAATAAACGGTAATCATGCTTTAAGGCATTAAGAGCAGAAATGGAATGAGATGAACAAACCTTTTGAGTTGAGTATGTAGTGATGTGGCCAGTCGAACCATCTCCTCCAGCTCTCGGACTAGCTTGTTCCTCTTGCAGTGAAGTCGCAGCCTGAAATGAGTAAAAGGAAAAACTTTATTTGGCAAACGAATACAAAAATATATAGTTTATTTTTTCAGTCAGCTACAGACTTGCAGGTGTGAAGTAACATCTTATTCTCGTCAATTCAATCTACAAAATCTGATCCTGAATCGCAATGTCAACTGCTTCCAGGCTGAACATGAGTCACCTTAATATTTTGGGAATTAAAAAAAAACTGTGAACATAATCCTCCATCTCTGCTAACGCTGGAGGTGTGAGCACTTGAATAAAAGTTAACAAATATGACATGACGGCGACGATGTGTTGGGGTATTGTGAGCAGCTGCTTTGTGTTCAGGTGACAGCGGTGTCATTTGTTTGTATGAGCTTTGTCTGGAGGAAACAAGTCCATTAACAGCTGTTACTGTGATCCATGGTTTGACTGGAAACAGGCCAAAGTGAGGAAGTCTTTGATCAGGTTACAGAAAGCTGCTGGTGCTGGTGCTGGTGTGTGTGTGTGTGTGTGTGTGTATTTGTCTCTGACTCGTTTTTAATTGTCATACAAACAGACATATGTCTGTTCATGAGAAAGAAAGGTGCATGTTCAGTGAACTACCGCAAAGGTATCAATGTAAAACTGTCAAGCACCAAAAGCTGGCGTCAAATGTTGGTCAGATTCATAATTTGGTTTACTACTTCCCTCATTTGAATGAATTTTAGACAGTTTTTTTGTGGTTTTTTTGACAGTTCATAGCAACATTTAGTTTTAACTTATTTCTTTTAATGAAAAAAGTTTTCTAGAAAAACATATTTAGCCTTTGTAACAAAGTGGTTCCTAGTGCCAGTGGAGAGTAGAGGTCATCCCAGGGCCACTGTGTTCGGGAGAACCGCAATCAACGCAAATTATATTCAGTCTAACTAGGTCCGCTTCCATTGCATCTGGCAGTGACATACGTGGGTTTGTCAGAAAAGGTGTTTGATGATTTGTCTGAGTTTAAAGTAAATTTAAGAATTTTTCAATGATGTTTAAAGGTGATGTAATATTTCATATCTTTTGGCAGAAATGGAATTAGCTATTACCAATTCATCGGTATGTTTTCATTAGTGTTTAAGAGATGAGATAAGATGATAAGATATATACTTTATTAAAGTCCCCTATTGGAGAAATTGTTCTTTTCACTCTTTTTTTTATACACACACACAAGCTGAAATGCACACTTCATGCACTTGTGGACATGCAAACAGGGAGAGAGATGGTGGAGTGATGGGCTGCCACGTTAGCAGCGCCCCATGAGCAGTTTCTTGGGGTTAGGTTGCCTTGTTCAAGGGCACCTCGGCAGTCGGAGCCGTTTTTATCTACACCGGGAGCAGGACGTCTTCCAATGTCTTCGCTATGTTGAACCGCCTTGGTTCTACAGTAGCTCAGGGCAATTCACGTTTTTCACTTCAATCCACAATCTTACCACTAGATGCCATAAGCTCCGACACACTGGTCCTTTAAAAACTACGTTTGTGTTGAATTTTGTGTCTGATTTGTTTTAAAAACGTGCACTGAGAAACAGCAACTTTTTTAAAGGCCCCTACACAGAGGCTTTTTGAGCTGTTTAGAGGTCTTCGCTGCGTGGGTGTGTTTACTGTCTTTACGAACATCTGCCTCCCTTCTTCTTTTAGTTTGATTACGTTTTTTTAGAGAAGGGCAACTTACACATCTGACACTCTTATTATAACCTCACACAATAACAAGAGCGGGGGTCTAATTAGCCAGAACAGCTGATAATACCTGTTTGAGTGAGTAGGGCCTTTAAAACCTCCAGAGCTAATTACTTTTCTGTACTCAAGAATCCCGATTCTGAGAATTCCACATCTTCAGAACCTGCAGACACAGAATGCATGACTGTGTGCATATTTCTTGCGTTTGTGTGTGTGTGGTAGGGTGCGTAGGTGGACCACAAGAAGTTCCTTTTGTGACCAGGCTCTGCAGCCTCTCAGGTTACAGGAACAGGAGACGAGACACAAAGAGAGACTGAGCTCAGGTAGAATCTGACCTGAACATCGAACAACAAGAGTCCTGTTAGAGGTTGAAAGAGAGAGGGAGAGGAAAGAGGGGAGGACAGACGTAGGATCTCGCTGGTTCTGGTTTAGCTGCCTGCTGCTATTTAAGAGAGAAGGTTGTACAAAACTAGAAAGAAGAAGGTAAAAGAAAGATTTAGGAGAGCAGGGACAGATGGAGGTATAAACTGGAACTGGAGAGGGGGGAATAAGTGAGAGGAAGAGAAACAACAAGAGGAGGAGTGTCTTCTATGTCATGTTCATCTCTAACTCCTAATAATCATCAGGGAAGTTTGACGTCTCTAAAGGCCAAAGGAGTCCAACAGAAGTAGAAGGTCAGTGGTTTCATCAGCGGATGAGACAATAATGACCACAGTTACACTCAACACACCGCTGTCATCACCTGCTCTAACCTTCTCCATGACACTGTTCTTCAGTCCACCTTTAGACATGTAGTAAGAGCATAACAAGAACAGACAGCTGCTGTTGGTTCTTAGTCTCAGCTAATGTCGGTTATGCTTTCATCCAAAAAGGACAAAGAGATAAACCTTTTTGTTGGACCTCCCTTTCTGTATTTATTATTATGACTATTACTGTAAGTATGGTTACTATTAGTAAATTGTCTGTTGTCTCTCTTTTCACTGTTGTCCTCATGTTCATACTATAATAACAAGAAGAGATTTATATCAAACAAACTATTTCTTACAGAGATCAGTTGGACCGGGACCTCTGAACATTATAAGTACGGTCAGGTTCCAATAGCCGGTTCCGTTATGGATCTGGTTCCCAGTTGGCAAAACACAAGGATACTTTTATCTCTCCTCACTCTTTATTAGCAAAGAGCAACAGAAAAAATAAAAGTTAGCAGCTTCTCATTGTTAGATTAGCTCCTCTGTCGCTAATGAAAAAGGAATGAATGAAAAGTTTGTTCTCTGTAGTCAAAGATTGTTTGTGAGTGAGAAGATGCATCAATTTGTAACACGACTGTACAACCGTGAATGGACTTTGTATTTTTGTAGGTCAACAGGGATCAACACAGTGGAGAGCCTATTCTGTATAGACGTGATCAGCTGATCACCTCCTGTCCATTTGAGAATCTTATCTAATTTAATCTGATCAGCTTCATGGTTGTGAATCAGAGGGTTTGAATTAATTAGCTGATATGTTTAATAATATTTAATATATTCTGCTGCTCAGGTTGTAGCTACTGGTTGTAAAGATTATTTAGACAGAACTGTCACGTTTCTGCCTTCTCAGCCAACAAAAGGTGATTTGACATCTTTGAGTCGGACTTATTTTAGTCTTTAGTTACTTGTGAAAGTTTAAAATTAAACCTAAAAAGATTTCTGAGAAGTGGATTCGATACTACTCTTGATTAGATAAATGTTTTTGAACCACGTCCATATTTATTAGTAATAAAAAAGTTTCAGACTTCAGTCATGATGTGTCAGCAATTATGTGTTCTGCTCTGAGATTGAAATGAAGAGCTCTGAGATTTGGATTTTTAGGGGGCTGTTAAATGATCTGAAGTAATTTCTGTTTAATATTCTCACCTCTCAGTCAGAGCCTTGCTCTGGTTGTCTCTGGCGGCCTGCAAGTCTCTCTCCAGACGTTTCTTCTCAGACTCCAGCTTCTCGGCGTCGTTGGGCTCCAGGCGTTGGCGAGGGCTGATATACTGCAGCTCCTTCAGCAGCTCCTCCTTCTCGTTGATGAGGATGAGGCGGTCTCGCTCCGGGTCCAGCAGCCCCGGCCATGCCTCGCTGTCCAGTTTGGCGATCTGCACCTCAATGGTGGCAATCCTGAGAAAGAAAGCAGGATTAACGCATTAACTTTATTAATCCATAATGGGGAAGTTGTTTCTTCACTCAGTGTTTTACACACATAAGCCCAAAAGACAGACAGACAGACAGACAGACACACACACACACACACACACACACACACACACACAGACACACACACACACACACACACACACACACACACACACACACACACACACACACAGGGCTTATAGGTGGAGTGATGGGCTGCCACGTAGCGGTGCTCTGGGAGCAGTTAGGAGTTAGGGGTTAAAGGGCACTTGAAAGTAGAACTGGCACCTCTCCAGCTAACAGTTTACACTCCATACTGTGGTACGTGCTGGACTTGGACCTGCGACCCTCCGGTTCCCAATCCTAGTCCCTACAAACCGAGCTTTCTCAGGATCAATTATTATTATGGGCAATGTGTTGACCATCGTGAAGATTTCCACAGTAAAATTTGTTTATTAATCGTTCTATTTCCAGATCTTTCATAACATGTCGTTCAGGACTTTAGTTGCTGATTAGTCTGCTGGTACAATAACAAAATCTAATCCAACATTTGTAGATCTCCAAATGATAAATTACTCACAAAACTAAACAAACAGCGATTATAAAGGCACACATACAATAAACAGCAATATGCATGACTCTAGATATAAGCACACATACGAACACACACACACACACTTCGATCTATCTAAAATATACCTCCTCTTGGCCTCCTCGTATTTCAGACTCAGACGGACTTTCTCTGCCAGTTTGTTGGTGCTGGTCATAAACTGAATATAAACAGAATACAATATCAACACAATGACATGGAGGATGCGTTGACACATATCAATTCATAAACCAATGGCAATATCTGATTAAACTGAAAATCAATGATTTGAACATTTTCAAAATTCATACTTCATTGTACTCTAATGTTTGATACCCTGCACAGCTTTTAAAAGGGGTGCCCATCCTTGTCAGCACTTGACAAAAATGTTAGACTACATTGAATTTAGTGCTGACTGAAGAAATCAAGACCAACATTATGTTTCTGTGTGGCCTCTCCAGAAGCTACTTCCTCTCTCCAAGGTGAAGAAGTGAAACTGAAGATCTGTCCTGGACTCACCTCAGCGGGGATGTCAGTCTGGGAGCCGGCGTCGGAGTACAGCCGTGGGATGGAAAGCTCTGAGTTGGCGAGCGAGGGACTGCTGCCCCACAGCTCTTGCTGGGAGCCCGAGTCCAGCTGGAAACCGTCCTTCAACACCGCCAGTTTCTGGATGAACAGAAGAGACAAATGGCTGCTGGAGATTATATGAATCAAAACATGAATGATCTGCGGGGAGAAACTGGGACACTGCAGCAGGAAACTACAGAAAAAAATGATTAAATAAACAAGAAATGACTGTATTAAGTGAGCGAAATTAAGACGTTATATTTAACAAGAATGAGCAGCCCCTTAAATGGTTTATTGCTTCAGAAGCACATCTTCTAGGAACTGAAGCTACTAGCTACAAGTTTGTCTTCCTTGCTGTACAAAGTCACCTTAGGGCTGTAAAATGACAAAACTGCAAAATGTAAAAGACTACGTCTTCTGTGTTTGCTGCATGTTTCCCATGAGTTATAGTGTTGCTGCAGTGACAGCTGCCACAGCGATCCTTTTATCTTTACAGCCGGGATGGATATCTTATATGACTTTGCCGTTCGTTTTGAAGCCTGCTGTGGAATGCACCTTATCTTTACACTTCAGATGAGGCAGAAAAACAACATATCAATTCTGTGATAACTGTAGTGCTTATTTATTTGGAGGTTGCAGCACACCAAATGACTCTGCGTTTCAGACTCTCATCCAGAGCCCTGATTTAGCAACATTTCAGCATAAAGCTACATGTGGATGTTAAACATAATGGCAGCTCCAAGTGGCAGCCAGAGATAAGCATGATTTTTGAGTAATGAAATATTTCAAATACAGATTTAAACACTGTGTGCTCGTCATGCCTACATTCGTCTTGGAAAAACATGATCACAGCAGGTTCAGCTGAAGCAGTTTTTGCTCAATCGAACAGCTGTTAGACTATTCAAAGGGGGTTCTTGCACTTCAAGAAGTGATAAGAAGCCAAGAAGATTCCTCATCAGTCAGCACACAGTTTATCTCATTTGGGTAAAGGGAGTGGATCAACTCAATTTAATTTAAGGATGGTCCTCTTTTTTTGGTGCCTGTTGCACTAACCTCTCTCCTGTCTTCCCCCATCTTTGAACCCTCTTAAATGGTAATAAATGAGCTAACGCTTCATTTTACAGATCTATATTTACCTAATAATAATCTGTAAATTACTAGCTGGGATAATTATAGGTGAAATAAGAATTTCCTTGAAAGAATTGCTTTAAACCCAAATGAAGATTAATTTATTGTTCCTTCATTATTTAAGGCTTTTTTCTTTATATATATTAAACTGTATATGTATGTTTGGCTCAAACAAATGACACTGGTTTAATCTTCCTTTTTTCAATGAATTCATTCTTAACTATATAGATTTTCTTTATTTTTCACACATCACATTGTCTCAGAGCCCAGGGTGACATCTTAAATTATCTTTTTGTCTGACCAACACCCCAAATCCAAATATACTCAGATTATTATCACAATGTTTGCTTGAGTTAAGACAATTAATTAATTATAAAATTTTCTGTTGATCCACAAATTAATTAATTGAGGGATTGTTTCAGGTCTAAACTGTAGCAGTGAGGTATCTCAATAAGAATACACTGTACCTCTCTCTCCTTTTTTCTAGTTGTGCAAACAATTTACACACCCACAGCCATATCAATAAACATAGATGCAGAGCACACAGGGACACACACACACACGTGAACAGACAATCCCACAGACTGAGCTGTCAGCTGCAGATGGTAAGGGAGAGGGAGGGGGAGAGATGGGCGAGAGAGGGAGGCAGAGAGAGTCCACAGAGTAGATTATGTATTATTGAACACACTTTCCTCCCTCTACCTCCAAACGAATCTGCAGCCAGAGCTGATATTTTCAATCTATATGTGAGAATGGGGGTGTATGTAGGAATATTGTCAACACAGGGATGTTTTTAAATCAGAACTGGAGTCTAAAAATGCTCAAAATGGTAATAGGAGATTTATAGATAGCTGCTCTACATTTTCTACCCTTTAATATGCTGTGCAGACCTGTTGATGTGCAGTCATGTTTGTGCCTGGAGCAGAACATCTGCACAGTTAAGAAAGAGAAAAATTGTTTCTTCAAAGATTAAAATCGAACATTGAACCTAAAGGAATTCTCATGGTGATTTTTTGTGGAACAGCGAACTAAAAAACTATTTGCAAGTCATTGCGTCAGAGCCACAAGCTGTAAATCAAACAGACTTCTTGTTCATCTCCACTCCCCTCATCCCTGCAGACTAGTATACTATACATCTGCAACCTGTGAACTCCAAGTCCCATCATGCAACTTTAAAAGACACTGCAGTCATGGTGGAAATATGGATGAGCTACACTGTGATGCTGTCACACACAATAAAGGATGAGGCAGAGGAGGAGAGAGAGAGATTACCATTCAATCCTCTGCTATATTTAATGGAGTAGTTTGTGTCTATTCAGTTAACTGTAGTTTAAATATAACTTTATCTGGAAGGACCAACAGTTTTGTGAGACGTTATCACGGCAATAGATGAAGAAATACCCAAAGCAGCTTCAAAGGAAAGGTGAAAGAAAAGCACAGATCAGGCAACCGATGCATGTTCAAGTCATTCAGCATCCCCTGGAGTCCAGTTAAATCAATCATTATTAATATATGTATGAGTGTCACACAACTGTAAATCTGCCTGAAGCAGGTTGTCCTCAATACTGAGTGAGTCCAGCAATGGACCTGAAACAAGTCAGAAGGAGTTCCAAGCTTCAGAGGCTCAGATTGGAAAGACTATACATACAACACGATTGGCCAACTGAGACCAAAATGCCGCTTTTTCACCATCAGACCGAACGGCATATTTGGCATAACATCCCCAGTGTGAAGCATGGCGGTGGCAGCATCATGCTGTAGGGATGCTTCTCTGCAGCAGTGATAGAAAAGCTTGTGAGGGTGAAATAAAAGCAGCTAAATACAGAGAAATCCTGGAGGAAAACCTGATGCAGCCTGCGAAAAACCTGCAGTTGGGGAGAAGATTTGTTCTCCAGAAAGACAATGAACAAAGATACAGAGGAATTGGCTTAAAAAGAACAATGGTAATGTCCCGGAGCGGCCAACTCGGAGTCCAGATCCCAATCCAGTCAAGAAATTTGTGGCTGGACTTGAAGTACACCGTTCCCCAATTTTGCCCATGCAAACTGACAGAACTTGAGCAGTTTTACAAAGAAGGATTGGCTGTTTTTGTTTCATGCCACTGAAAATGAAAATCTTTGGGTTTTGGACTGTTGGGTCTTTATTTTATAAACAAAACAATTAACCAAAAAAACAATAAACTGAATTTTTTAACAAAAACAATCCTAACTGAAATAAAGACAGACAGCCCACAGATGCTCCTAACTCACCCACCCAGAGGAACTCTTTAAACCACATAAGCTACAACGGAAATAAAACTCCCATGGCAAAAAAATGTTGCTGCCATCAGCAAAACAGTTCTCACTTTCCAGAAAACCCATCTCAAACGGATCCTCACAAACACAGCCTCATCTTCTCCTGAGCGAACGTGACAGGCTGTCATCACAACGACCGAGGTGCGACACTAAAACACCACCTGCCTCTCCCTGTAGCCTCAGCTCCTCCGAGCCACTAAATCTCTTTTAGCACATCTGGCCTTTCTCTCCCAGCAATATAATGTAAAGTGTTTTAACACGCGTACAGACTCTCCTGAGAGTCATCTGATGCCCTCATCTCCTCCACTCACAGTCCGCCTTCTTTTTTTTTTTTTCCCCTTGCTTCATTCCCTTGTTTATACTCCTACTTCATAATGTAGTATGCTGTTCATTTTCTATTCGTTCTCTTTATCGCAAATCACTCCCCCCCACAGCTTTATAAGCAGAGTTTTATACTGTACCTCCCTGCAAAGTCCTTCGTGGGGTAAATAACCGGGAGTTTTTCAATTCTGGTTCTTGGCATGTTTCATTTGATCTATTTAGTTTCCTACCGAGCTGAATGCAGTTGAAATACGTGTTAGAAGGAAAAATACACACATTATTTGCCCAGTTGCAGGAACAAATAAAAGGAGCTCAGGCACACAACAAGAACACAATAAATCATTTTTCAGGGTCAACTGGTGTGACGTGTGGATCTTCCATCTCAACTCATTTACCCTCACAACCCAAACTGATCTACCAAAATAAAGGAGCAAAGTAGAGACACCTTGTAGCAAGATGAGGTTGTTCAAGAAGCTGAAGTGACCAAAGAACTGACTGCTTGAACACTGCAGTGAAAAATAAAGACTACATATTTTGCTTTGATTAGAAAATAAAACTTGTTACTACGATTCAATTGTCCTAAATATTGAATCCTTTTCTTTATGTGGAAAAATGCACATCATGATGTGGCCTTGTTGTGATTTCTGACATGATCCACATGGCTCTTAGTATCAGATGTCAGTATTTGGATTATCTGTCTCTTCTTTCCTCCTCCTTTTGTTAAGAGCTGATCAAGTCAACATCTTGCCTTCAGCAGTCTTTAAACAATGCTAACCTTCTACATACAAAAACAGATATGTACTTAACTTTACTCCTCTGTATTTGAGTGTTTTTGGCTGAAATGTATTTTTATCTTAGATAAGTGAGATAAGCTATTACAAAAATATTTGCCAAATTACTACAATGAAAGTACCTCTGCAATAATGCCCAAATGCACTAAATTAGATTTTTGATCCGACACAATGCAATTCTACATTTTAATGTAACTCCATAAATAATTACATTCAGTTGCTAAAGGGTCTAAATCAGACCCCTACAAGGAACTTTTGTGTTGATTCTGGCAGCCTCTGTGGACAAAAGCAGAGTAGAGTTTCTACTGCCTCGTTTCATTGATTTCAAAGGGAACACTACCAAATTTGACCCAGTGGCAGACATTAAGAATAACTATATAAAAATAGCCAATCTCCACTGATGGTCTTGTTTGTTTATGTAGGCATCAGTATTAAATTGAGACAAATTGAACAAGCATGATGTCCTTAATCTAAATTATTAAAAAGACGATATTATACTGTTTTTAGAAAAACTTCCACCAAACTGGGACACATCAAACTACCAAGCTGAGATCCACAGTCATGGGGTTTTGAGTCGGGTTTGGTTGGCTCAACCTCCTTCTGCGTTCTATGAAAACATTTTTAAGAATGACTTTTAATGTGTGTTCCCTCCATTACAAATGTCTCTTTACCTGCATGAGTTCCTGTTTCTCTTTCTCCCCAGAGCTGATGGCGTCTCGGATGGAGCGGACCTCGCTGAGGATGGCCTGCGCCTCCTGCAGTTTGTAGCCATACGGGCTGTTGGACACCTTCTGGTCGATCCTGGAGGTCAGGGGGAGGTAGCAGAGCCAGAGGGTGAGGTAGGGAGGGAGAGGTAGGGAAGGAGATAAGAGAAGTTCAGTTTGGATGATGATTTAGAACAATGTAAGCATCAGCGGGTTTAAACAAATCATCCTGTAAAAATATGCCTGACTGTCAGCAGCTTTGGGCAGACATGGAAAAAGTCGGTTTCAAATATCTAATGACTTCCAATTATCTGCTTTTTTAATGTTTACACAGGGAACTGAGTCATCTGAGCACACACACATTAGAGCAGCACTCTGACTCATTTCCATAAAGTTATACTAAGTGAATTCCTCCCAGTGTAACCACAGCTTTTTCCTAGCAGTTAGTCAGCAGAGGCATAGGAAGGCAAAACAGCAGTCACTACTCATTCACTTTCCTTACACATATTAACTGTGACACTGTCAATACTGCGTGTCCATAACAAGGATTACCAAAAGTTTTACTTAGTTATTGTTTAAGAAAATACTGTTTGATTTATAATTATGATGTTTTAAAAACTATACTGTTTTAACAAATATTTTAAAAAAAACTATGATTTTTTTATTGATAAGAAAACTTGGGCACTGTTTCGGACAACATCAAGCTCTTCCTGTGGAGTTGTCAATGTCTTATTTCTCTAACTTCTAGTCTCACGGTTCTCAAACAAGTGCCACTAAGGCCAGAAAATATGCAACGTCTTTGTTTTCCCAAAATCAATCGCTACACTGGCTCATTTCTCCGTTGAGCAGATCAGCTGATGTAATAAATAGATCGACAAAAGACTGGAAATCGGCCACCTCAGAAAAACCTGAATTTTCATCAGCTGCACATTCATATGGGGTTTAGACCACTAAAGCAGCTTATTGGAATAGATATCTTTTTCTCACAGTTTTTGTTTGCTATTCAAAACAAAGTACTATACACCCACACATGGTCAACTACTGTGTGGCAGAAATGACCTCTGTATCACCAGTAAAGCCGATCACACAATATGTGACAAAGTGTTGTCTCTAACCTGAATTTATTTTGTACAGGGTTTCTGCAGGTTTCACTTTTTATTACCCAACAGAAAGCAAATTAATACCTCTTTCACAATCATATGAAAGTACTCAGGGACTGCACATTCCACTTTCCCCTGCTTATTTGCACTACACCGCACTACCTCACCTGTTTACCTACTTATTTATTTAACCTATTGTAAATCCTGTAAATACTCAAGTGCCCTTGACTGTTGATTGTTGATTTTATGTCTTTTCTATTTATTTAGTATATTCCCGTTTGCACCGTGGGTCCGAGAGGACTGAAATTTCCTCTGTGCTGTATGTCGTGCATGAATAGCATATTTGACAATAAAGCTGACTTTGACTAAAGTGGAAGCAGGAAGATGTGGCCTAGGATTATCTCTTATCATATAAAATTTTCAGTACTTTCCAGCTATATATAACAATAATAAATATTATATATATATATCATTAATTTGATTAACATGACCTGCACATGGATAAAGTGAGAGAAAATTGATGGATGGATTAACCAAATAAGAATTAACAATTCATTTAAGTTCACAAGTTCTTTGCTAAAATGGACTTTTACTGACTATGAGAAAATGGGCTTCCAGGCTACTGTAACTGCAGCAGTCACAGTATTTGCTGCAGGTCTGATGGTTCTGACAGAAACCTCACAAAAATGGACTGAACAGCCTCCGGCAGCACAATCCCATCACAACAGTCCAACTTTTAGTTTATAGGTGTGTTAACGTCTCGTGACAACCCATGACCAGGTACAAAAGCATTTTATAACATTATGACATTACTACCTACAGGAGGCAAGAAGAAATATCTAAGACTTGTGTGGATTAAATATAAGACTTTTTAATAGCCTGTAAGAGTACCTTATTATTTTCTCCTTTTTTTGAGGAAACTGAATTCTTGTCAGGACCTACATATACCCGTTGTTAGGTTACTTTTTTCAACAGAAAAGGGAAAGATTTGTAAATGAGAAGAGCTAAACTGAGAGTACTGAGAGTATTAAAACAGTACAGGTGTTCATGTAGAGCAGGAGGTGATTCAGCCAAGCAAACATGGCTGTCTGTCCCACTCCTGTCCAAACCATATAATGGCTATAATGAACTTTTCTTTGTCAAAAGAAGAGGTTTATCAATTTTACTGTTTACTTAGCCATTTCTGTGTGGACAAAACAGCCTGAAAATGCTAATGTAAACGCAGATTGTTCCACAAGTAAAACGTGTTTTCACACAGACATTTTGATCAGTTTCTAAGTACAAGTTCAAATGTTTGCTCAACTTGTAGCTTCCAGGTAACACACATGAGAGCCTGTTTTCAGCTGTGGGCAGTCTGGGAAGACCCTGCTGCTGCAGGAAGAACAGACAGAATAGACACTGCAGGAAACAGCCATCAGAGGCAGCATCAGCTATGTAAACCCTGTCATCAGCAAGTCATGCATGCATCTGAATAACAGGTCCTTCCACATTCTTCAGAGAGGGACGCGGGGGAGGGAGGTTCGGACTGAGAGAGAGAGAGAGAGAGAGAGAGAGAGAGAGAGAGAGAGAGAGAGAGAGAGAGAGGAGAAAACAAGGTACAGAGAGAATGAGGAAGTGAGGGAGGGAGCGAAGCACTTATCTGTAACAGGCAGAGAGAACAAGTAATCCTCTCTAAGTCCTTCTCAAACGTGGACTTATGCTGAGTGAAAACGGTGTTATGAACCTTTTTATAATTAAAATCACAATGACCGCTTTACAAAAACAGAGAGAGCGAGAGACATTTGACAGAGACTCACTAAGCCGAAACATTTAACTAACCACTGTCACACAATTTAAAGTTTCCATAGTATATTTTACGTTTTAAATGAGAAAAATTGTCTCTTTCTTGCACTAACTAGGTACAGTTGTGGTTTCATGGTCAGGGGAGCTAGCTATTACCATGGCAACCAGAGCTCCTGCTCCTGTTTTAGAAAATATCTGCTATTCTGAAGTGTATTCATACAAAACACTGAATCTCTCCCTGTTTGGGTACTGGATGACCTGTGACCTCAAATGGTAAAATTCACACCTCTGGGCCGAAGAGGCTGTGCCCTGTCATGTATAACTCCTCATATGTTACAGTACATATGGCCTAAGTATACTAAAGCATGTATTTTTGAGGCTGATATCAATATTGAAGACTGATATTTTTAAAAAGATGATACACTGACTGATTTTTTTTTTTTCAAGAGATTCTTCTGTGATTTGGTACTACACTTCCATAAAACAGAGGGGGTACTGAGAAAGAATGGTCAAAATATGTTAAAAATCTGTAAAGCAGAGGCCGCGATATCCTGACTTTTAGCCTCTATTGTGGGTCAAGCTCCAACACTTCCCATCATGGCATTCGATAACATAAATTACATGATTAAAATGATCCGCTAAATCATATGAACAGAGTTTTCCACATACTTTTGTCCATACAGTGTATTATATTGCCACTTTTCTGTACTACATATCAAAAAACATCATTAAAAAAAAAAAAAAACTCCTGTACACCAGTATTTTGTGAAATCTTATCAGGAGCTGAGTGTTCGGCTGCATTCCAGTCTAAGCCTATTCGTATTTCGGCAAACAGTGATTGGTTGTTGAACGCCGTCTGATGACTGTAACAGGAGAGGAAAGTCACGGAGGAATGCTGTCCAACCACTCTGCCTCAGCTACTCTTTAATCCTCCTGACACTCTCACTGTGCTGCGTGAGGCAAGACAAACAGACCGGACATTCCTGTTCAATTCAACATTGACCGAGAGCGGATCGGCATGCCGGCTTTCCAATGTGGTGAATTTCAAAAACAAAATCACAGACGGCTTCGGCCTCAGAGATAAAGAACAAATAGAAGAATGGATCCCTTACAAATCAAGATTCTTGACTGACGGCCTCACTGCTACACCTTGCACTTTTCTAAAGAAAGCTTCATATTCTGGGGTGTAGAAGTAGGTCAGATAGAAGGGGTGTTTCCTTTCAAATCCACATTCTTCAGCTGTTGTTCCACTTGTGCGTTTATAGAGGTGTTAGTGTTTAATGATTGGATGGAATGTGTGATAATGCTGAGGCAATAACTGAGGTGATAAGCGAGCCTACTGCACCGAAGCCTCTCACTAACTTGCATCAGTTCAAGCAACACATTCACATTTACTGTTTACATGCTGTTTAACAGGGCAAATTCCAACAAGTTCAAACATTTCAAGAAGGCTTGACTCCTTCATCTCTACTGTACAACGATATTTATGTGATGTGTCACAGATAAGGATAAAACAAATTAAAGGTAAGAGCTAGGTAGAGATTTGACTAAGATGTCTGAGGACATCCACACTGGGTCTGCTTTTTCTGAAAATGCTTTTATATTGGATCAAGAACAAGAAAATTCGCTAAATTTTTTCATCTTCGCCCACTTTCTGTCAGCAGACCACCAAACAACTGATAAGAGTTAACGTGTTGGAGCAGTCGGATGGTTAAACCCACATTTAGTCCACCTCTACCTCTCCATGATCATTTGTGCTGTGTTTTAATACAGTCAAACTCAAGGTTTAGTTGTTCTTACTGACATTTTTGTTTCTGTTGTCAGGTAAATAAATGAGCAATAAACAGTGATTTGCTACCTGTTGACAAGGTGAACATTAATTCTGTGGCACTGAGAAGTCGGTCAGACATTATGTTTCTGTCTGACAATAAATAAGAATATAGATGAATGATGTCTATATTGACATCTAAATTAAGTGATCACAGACAGAGCTAGGGGAGACAGGAAGTTGCTTCTTACTGAGAGATGGAGTTTGAACATGAGAGATTTCTGTATTTTCTTTTTTTTTTAAGTCTCTGATCTCTCGCTGGTTTGAAGTGGGCAAGGCAGAGTTGGGAAAATGAACCAATCAGGATTCAGCAAAAATATGAATCAGAATCTGTCAGAATCTGACAGTCGGTTTGGTCAAAGCCTACTCTTCTCATCCACAATAAAACACAATGGATATTTCAGAATGATCCACTCTAGAGACCTTTTTTGAGCTGTCAAAAACACTGGGTTAGTCTGGACGGATGGCCAAAACTAAAGAAATTGACAGGGAGAAGGTGCTATAAAGTACTTGTTATGCACTCAAGTACCTTATTAAACAAAAATGCCATAAAGTCTCTGGTTCAAGCTTCTCAAAACTCTTTCATATCATTCTAAACTGAATCTCTTTGGGTTTTGGATTACTTGTAGGACAAAACAAGACATTTGAAAATGTCACATTAGGGCTTCTGGCAAGTTCTGATGGCCGTATTTCACTTAAATAGCAATAATTATTACTTGCAGTGCTAGTTGTTGAACTTTCTGCACCAAATATTTTACTCACACCTTTAAAAAGCTAATTCCTAATAAGGAAATATATAATTACACTACATTAACCTTTAGGAGATGGCTGTAGACTGTCCTGACAAACTAGAACAGGTCTGCATAAGAACCCTCTCTACCAAACACTCAGAGTTTCAGCAGTAAATGTAAGGTGTTCTGCAGGCAGAAGGTGAAACTGTAAAGACTGAGGGAAGGTCACACACACACACACACTTGCTATTCAAGTCAGATTCTGACTGTCTTGCTTTGCTCGTCAAATTAAATTAGGAGGGCCGTTGGTAGCATAAAGTGTGAGGATCAAATCCCAGAATCAGCTGTCAACAAATATACCTGTCAACGTGCCCTTCGGCCAGGATTCAAGGTGCAGGGGGAAAGACTGGAAAGATTCCAGGAGTGAATACGAGAGCACACATGAACCACGGATACCCCCTGTACAAAGGCAGGTAAAAAGTGCATCAGTTTGAGGATGTCAGGATGCAACACTTACTCTTTGAGGGTCTCAAAGCCTTGTTCTTTGTACAGCAGCTCCTGCTTCATACAGGCCAGGTCTCGCTTCAGCTTGTTCACCTGAGACAGACATGAGAAAAACTTGTTGAAAAACTGTGAAATATTTGAAAGAATGTCTGGTGATATCTTAGATTTTCTTTGTTGCTAACAAACGCATGAGACTACCATGTCTGTGATACTCAGAATCAGAATCAGAAATACTTTAATAAGTATTTATACTCAAGCTTCATATGTCTTTACTGAGGGGTTACATGATTTAGTTTTCAGCACAGAGAGGAGTTAATAGTGCATTCTTTGGGGACTATTAATCCACATTTGGTGCACTAGTGAGTGTTTTCTGCAGCAGGGCATGTGGGACTAAGTCAAAATAACACACTACAGTGTGTGTTCATGGTCATGAAGGAACATGTCAGTGCAACAGTGTGGCTCTTTGATATGTTTAATAGTGTTTGGACAACAATGGAGCTCAATGGCACAGAGGAAAAAGATATATCAGGCTTTGATACACACATAATACTTGATAACAGATACCTTAAGTGTTGGTTTTGGTCTTTTCGTGAGATTTGTTGACAATAAGAACAATATCGAATGTCACCAGACTGAGCTTAAGTTGAAAACTTAAAACACAAATAACTTGTAGTATTAAAACAAAAATACAATTAAAACAGCAGCTTATGTGGAATTCACACATTTCCGATACGGCAAGAATGAGTTGAATATGAGGTCATGTGGTTTCAGACCAATTAAACTGCTGAACTTGGGGGTGTGTGACTGGTGTTGGGTGTAGGTGACTCTACTACATATTTGATCCACTGCCAGGAGGAGTGAATGTATGAGGTGGTATGCTGTTTGGAACTATTATTACAGTATGTTTCTGTCTCTCTGTCTCTGTCTCTCTGTCTCTCTGTCTGTCTCTCTGTCTCTCTCTCTCTGTGTGTGCCCTGTCCTCTTATTGAGAGGAAAGTCGTCTTTCCGTCCTGGAAGAGGGATTCCTCCGCTGTGGCTCTTCCTGAAGGTTCTTCCATTTTTTCCTGACAAAACGTCATATTGTGTTGTTTTTTTGACAGATATTGCAATACAATTAGTGTGGAAATTATCATTTTTGCCATAGTGAAATTTTCACTAAAAACCCATTGAAGTCATGATGTGAGGTTTGTTGGGGTCTGTACCAAATAAACATATTACAATACAATCTAAACTAAACAATTAATTGATTAAAGGACAAAAAACACTGACTGATTAATCAGTGATGAAATAAACAGTTAGTTGTAGCCCTAATAACAAACGTTTATGTTTAGTTGATCAGGTATCAGCCAGATGTAAGGTATCCAAGTGCGATGTCACATGGTTGAAATAGGAAGGAGAGGCTCTTACCCGACTTTTGGCTGTGGCTATCTCTGCTTTTAGGATGTCTGGGTCGTACTTGCTGGACGAGGACGATCTGGAATTCACTGCAGGAAAGATATGAAGAGAAAGGAGAGGTGTTAAAGAACAGACCCTTATATCCTTTTCTTCTTTGGTTTTTTTTTACACCAGCGAGAGACAGACAACCATGGTCTTGATTCTTTATGTAGGTCATAAAGAGGCAACAGTATTACATTGCACTTATCATATAATCTTATTAATTGATTTTCTATCTTTTGTTCTTGTGTTTATCATTTTATTTTATGTTTGCCATTTAATTACATTTATTTTCATTTATTTATTTTCATTTTTTCCATTGATTTAATTTTTATTTTCATATAAATATTTTTTTTTAAAATTCAATTTAGGTTTTTTTTCATTTTTTCTTCATTTTTCCCTTTGCTGTCTCTCTTTATTCTTTAATTTTGCTCTTGAAATCCATATGTATGTATAAATATTTCGAGTGATTATAGGTGTAATGAGGGAGTCAACCTGTGCTTTTGGTCCTCCGGTGAGTCAAACAACCACACACAGGCAAGTTAAGTGTGGTTGTTTGACTCACCGGAGGACCAGTGTGCAGTTTACACACATTGGTCTGGTTTTTAATCATGTACTCAGGAAAACGAAGACCTTTTAACTTTCGTAGTTTAACAAAGCTGTGGGCCTTGACTTCCTGGGAGGGATCTTTTCCCTCTGTTGTGGACAGTATTGTAGTGTTACATCACTGTGTTTCCAATTCTCACTTCCAAAATAATCCCTAAATTTACAGTACTCACAGCTGGTCTGTGACGTCGACTTGTCCCTCCACGCATCATTGAGCTGCCGGTACTCCTGCTGTGCCAGGCGGAGCCTCTGCTCCTTCACCTGGTAGATCTCCTTCTGGGCACTGAGCGCATCGCGGGCCACAGCCAGGTAGTCCCGCAGCATGGACTCCTGCTCCCGCTGCCATTGGGCCCGTGGGTCCTCCAGCTGGGTGCTCTCTGGAGAAAAGGAAGAACACAACAGAGAATACAAAAACATGTATCAGTGATACAGGTACCAGAAATACTTTAAGAATGGACAAAGAACAGGAATGATAAGGAGTGAAAAGTGAGAATAAAGATGGGACTGAGTTGAATAGGGGTAGTTGGATGAAGAGACAAACAGTAAGCATAATAAAGAGTAAACTCACTGGTGTTGTGGTCGACATAGTACGATCCGACGACGGGGTCGTACGCCTCCTCCCAACCGATTGGCAGCTCATCCCCAATGCAGTCAGCAAACGTCAGAGGCTTCGTCTGCCTGAAGAAAACAGAATCAGAAAACAGAGTCAGAAACAGAATCGTCTCCACTTTGAACAACAAACGTCACCGACCTTGTGAGTCTGAGAGACATCTCAATTATGAATCACAACATTGAGTGACATGTATATGAACATGTCCCCGGTATGTTTATGTATGTTTTATCAAGATATGTTCACATAAAATAATAAAACACACACCGTTTTAATAGAGCAACAATCATTATTCAGCATAATTAATATCAGGATAATCAATTATCAAAATAACTGCTTGAGTTTTGCATACAAGTAATAATATTGGTCTAAATTAGGGTTGCAGCGGTGTACCAGTATCATATTATAGAATAAAGCATTTGTTCAACCCCTGCTTTCATTCCTTTAAGGGTCATTGTAATTGATGATAATAATAACCACAACTATGTCATACTGTATATCGTCATACTGTGAAACTGTGATATTTTCTGAGAAGGTTATTGTACCGTGAAAATGTCATACTGTTTAGGGGTGGGTAAAAATATCGATTCATCATTGCATTGAAATATATTTTTTCCCAATTCAATATCGATTCATTAAATCCTCTGAATCGATTCAAGCCCCTGGCCAGTGGGGGCGCAGTGAGCAACACCTTTGTGTGACTTGCATTGTACGGACAGAGGCCGCACTCGACCACACAAACAACATGGCAACCGAAGCAGGTAGCAGCAGTGTTAAACCAGCGCCTTCAACTTTAAAAGCAGACGTTTGGAGTCATTTTGGATTCCAGTGTAAACCCAGAACACAGGAAATAGACAAAAGTAAAGTAGTGTGTAAGCTGTGCCAGGCAGTACTAAAATACTGCAATAATGCAACAAAGTTGTGCAACCACTTGAGCCGCGGCTAAACCTGTGGATTCAAAACAGAAGCAACTTGACAGATCCTTCCTTTGCAAACTGCCGCCAAACTTTGCCCGCGCACAGAAGATAACGGAGTCTGTGGCCGTCTTCATATGTAAGGACCTACGACTGTACGGTGTCGTGGAAAACGGGGGTTTTAAGAAGATGGCATACACACTCGAACCATGATACGCCATACCAACATGCAAACACATGACGGAAGTCGCCTTCCCGAAGCTTTTAAAATTATCAACAGGTACTCTAATGAATTATTTGTGTAATTCTACTTATTATTGAATCGATATCGAAGCATTTAAATCAATATGGAATCGAAATCGAATTGTGACCTAAAGAATCAAAATCGAATCGAATCATAAGGTTCTTAACAATACCCAGCCCTAATACTGTTGCAACCCTATCTGTAATATCTCCAATGGAAGATACATGTACATGCATGTGTTTGTGAAAACAACACAATCTCATTTGAACCTTCTAAACACTCTCTCACATTAACTTTCTCACATTCAACAAAGCAGACAAAGTGAGACAACAGAAACTATGTCATAATTAACCTGACAATAAACTAACTATCCAAACTTTTAACTCCAAATTCATATTTCATAGCTATTGATATAAAATACAAAAACAACAACATCAGGTAAAGTATGCAATGCGTAAAGTGTGTGACACTTGATAATTAATGAACATGTGAAACCAGCTTTTTCACATACCCGACTGCTGTCACAGGTCATGTTCATATTTCTGTCACCACAAAACTGTGCTGTGCAGTTCACAAACAACTGCTGATCAGTGGCAATTTGAAAGTAATTCATGCTTTCAGTCATTATGAAGCAAATATGCCAGGTATTAGCTGCTGCTTATCTGTGTTTCACATTACTGTAAATTAAAAAAACACCTTTTATCTATGTTTTGACAGACTTAATAAACTGTTTCAAGACCCTGTCAGCTCCACGAGGATCGGTAAGCGTCCCTATTTTCACACATTGCCTTCAAACTTTCAACTGATGATGAAAAATGATTGACACATTAACAACGTAATGACTGTAATGAATGGCAGCAGCTCAGTGTGACTCTTTACAAATCACTGCTAAACCACAAAATGATGTTAATGAATCAGAACATTCGGATACATTATGTACGGCTGGGTGCTGAATCCACAACAACAAAACCCTAAAAGTCATCATCAAGACAGCGCAACAATTAAATGAGTTATTAATGCATAGGCATTATGGGTAGACACCTTCCCTCAGGGAGCAGAAAGTTATCACTGTACAAATCTACATGACGGTTCACTAAAATGTATTGTTTACATTAAAGTTGTTCTGATACAGAGTATCACAAATCGGTCCAATACTGCCTAAAATCCAGTATTTCGGGTTTCAACAAGTAAACATCTGTGCACCCCTAAAATGGAACGCTGCTACTTTCCTGTAGAAGTGTCTCGTTCACCGTTTTTCTCCCCAGGATTGCCAAATCATCACCCGCCCTTACTCTGACAAAGGGTTTAACCCGACCCAGACCATAGAACAATGACAGCAATCATACAGGCGTAGTATAGTAAAAGCTTGCCCAAATAAAACTTTTTAACGTACATGTATCAGATCGGTACTCACTATCAGACGATACGCAACATTAGGGTATTGGATCAGTATGGAGAAGGTATAAAAATTGGTATCTCTTGTTTATATTGGGATTATACTTTACAAAGTGATATATCTTACAACATAAAATTAATTGCCAACCATTCTGATAGTTGAAAGGGCAAAAATTAATTGGTTACAACCCCTCAAAAAGGTGAGAATTTTCTGGTTCTATTTGTCTTCTGTGATAGCAAATTGGATATCTCGAGGTTTCTGACTTTCGGTTGAAAAAACAGCAATTTGAATTTTTTTTCTTTTTAATATATTCTTTATTAACCCTAAAATGATGTTATACATAGAAATCTGTGATCAGCTATAACAAAACCAAACAGTGTCAGACCCACATGGTTAGAAGTCTGAATAATGACCAAACTAAAACATGGATTCATCCTGGCTCACTGTGTTTGTGTGAAAGCAGGAGGTAGGGTGAGAGTGTGTGTGTGTGTGTGTGAGAGAGAGAGAGACTGGAGGGGGTGGGTAGTCTGGCGTTTCACTGAGTCGTCTATTCACCTCTGAGGGGGGAAAAGGAGAAGGGTGGGGGTCCCTCTACCCGGTCACAATAGGAGGAAACCGGCCCGTGGCATTCCACAAGCAGGGCTGACGCATCGCCTGGAGGTTTCTGGGGCAACCCCCGGCCTTACAGCGGCCTTATACCGACTTCACAGCAGCCACGATGGTGAATTTAACCACCTCTACATTTTGCTTTGACATAACTGATCAACTAAACATTTTAATCCTACCATGTTGTTCTCTGATTTCTATGTAATGAAGGGAATATGTGATAAAACTAATGGTATATGATATTAATTAGGACTGTAACAGTGTACTGCATTAAACTATTAGGATCCAGACCATATCCTTTGTTCTTCTAGTCCCATACAAAGATTAGACTTCAGAAGACTTATTATAATCTTTATTCATACACAAATCAAAGGAAATATCGAATATAAATAGGATAGAAGTATTACCATTAGTCCCATTAGTACTCTTCCAAAGGGTCATTGCTCCAATCCAAGCAAGACAATAAACTATTCTGGGAAAACTGTTTTCCATTACACAAAACACAAAGAAAACATTTTATTCTTAGAATTTGAAAATCAATCTGTATCTAGAAAAGCAAACCAATTCACTGAAGCTTGCATTAGTGTTAATAACAAACTTTTCATTAGTTTAGTGGTGACTGTAGCTGACATAATAATTTCACAGACTAATGGGACAAGCTGCTATGTAGCCATGAATGTCCAGGAAGCATTTACCTTTCTTCATAACTTATTAAATATCAAAAGAGTGCAAAGCATTTCTCTGTAATAAACCATCACTAGCCATCAGACTAATCTTATTTCTAAAAAGCATTTAGCGACCAATTTTGGGACTTATTCACACCATTGAAGAAAATACGATAAATATGAAATTGTAATTGATTCCCACACATGCTGCACATGCTCACAGGCGACAGTAGATGTGGAGAACGGTGTAGGTAGGAGCAGAGACACTTTTTTCTTACTCATTCCAGAGGATGTTCCTATAGCTTGTAAATACGTGAATAGTTTGTTTGGCCATCTCCCTCCCTTTGGAGAGCTTTTTCTTTTACTTTTTTACAGTAAATATTCGATGTCTGCCATTGGGAAAGAGTTGGCAACACTGAGTGACACCGTTTATAGAATCTAAAAACGAGAAGCCTGCTAACACCACTGATCCTGCCCTTTATTTAGTAGGGCAGTGGTTTTCAAACTGAGGTCCAGGGACCAACAGGGGTGACCAAAGAATAGTTTAACTTTTATCACATATTTTTTAAGTACAACAAGGAGAGAAACAGCGATTGCCATTTTGACTGATTTTAAAGTATAGTAAAAAGTATTTAGTATCGGTATTGACACATCGTTCTCCTCAACTCTCCATCAACAGTATGTGAAATATTAAATTGGATGAACAAACAAACATAAGGAAAATCACCTCTCATTGATTTGATCATGACAGACAACAAACGGAGTAAAAAGCGAGACTCTTGTCTTTGGCTTTTCTCGTCTGCTGCCTCTTGTGTTTTGGGGCTGCAGATAAACACAAACACGGAGCAGCAACTCACTGCTGAAGAGAGAAACTGAACTGGGTCCTTTTTCAGCTGATGAATAATGAAAGGGGCCCAGAGAAGACCCCCTCAGCTCTGCTCTAAATTTAGCTCAGGAAGACAGGGAGGCTTCTGCCAACCGCTGATCCCAGAAAAAGCCGGCTGGTTGGCTGGCTAGGTATCCACATCCCATTATTTGATTCCTCTCTCCTCTCACCCATTAAATCCTATCCCATAATCGCCCAGCCGAGGGGAGTCGCTGACCTAAACTCGTCGCTCTCCGTCACAGTTTCCCTCAGAGCGAAGGACCAGCTGGCAGCGGCGGGCCCAGCCTCCATTTCACTGTCAGTCATTCAATAGCCACTTGTAGTGCGTCTCACATGCTTCACTGCTTTAGTGCTCAA